CTTTCAATCAAAGTTTCTGAACTTCCTGATCATCCTGATTCTAAAAGAGATCACTCAATTGAAATCAAAATCTTTACAATTTAGAAAGATTTAAGCTCTTCAAAAGTCCAGTTCTCGAATTCAAAGAAAACTCACCAAAATAACAGCCTTAGCCCACCAAATCACTCAACAAACTCTCAATTCACCAGCTACAATGCCTCAAACTCCTTTGTTCTCAAAACGACTAGACAACTCTTCCCCTTTTAACTTCTTACCTTTTATGTTTCTTTCAATATATGTTATGTTTTTCGCGAGGAGCCTCTCTACAATTAAAGGCAATTTACTGCTTTAATTGATACGATCAAGGTTCTCTTTTATATCAACATTTCACATTGTGCCCTTTCATCATCATCATTTTGTTAAAGTTGAAATAAAAATTTATATGAAAATAAATTTAATTTTCAGAATACGAGAATGGGGGGAAAAAATTGTAGATTACACTAATTGAATTTCAAGCATGTTAAACACCTCAGTTAAGGCTAAAAATGTTGTTGAAAATATATTTATTCGAACAGAGTTGAAATAGAGAATTAAATGTGCATTAATTCGAGGTCGATTCCATATTTAAATCAAATAGATTCGCACAGTTGAGTTTCATGCAAATTGCTAAGCATTCCAACATTGTTTGTTGAATGCGTCAATTACCATGCTCCAAACATGATTTAACGTGACAATTTGTTCATCAACGAAAAAAAAAAGGCAGCATCATTAAAGTGTTTGAGTTAATTTCCCATCTTATTTTCCCATGTCATGACATTCAATCCCAAAAAAGAGCGACGTGCTATGTGAGTGTGTTTATATGTGCATGTGTCTCATCTACATAAGCGACTCAATTTCTCATGATGAGATGAGATGAAGCAAAAAAAAAAGCTCATTACTCCTCTGTAAGCGCATGCTGTTGTTGAATGTGAGCCCTGAAAATTTATTAACAGCCAATTTATTTTTTTATACTTTACATATTTGATCAGTCTCAATATGTATACACAACAGTAATTTCTAAAGTGTTTTCACGAGATCGTAAATAACATTCTTAACAAGGTATGCCTCTGCTTCATTCATTATTCGCTCTTTTTCTCTTCTTTTGCTTCGTCTTCGACTCTCCAAAAAAAAGTTGTTATAAGAAGGAAAAAAAGTTTATTTTGCTTGCTTGCTTGCTTCATTTACTCCGCCTCAGGCGTAAGTATTAATAAATTAAAAAATATATCATATATACCCATCCATGTAGTATCCATTATTAGATTACAAAGCACTTTGCGATTGTATAGATGTTGTTATTTAAACATTCTTTTCTCTTACAGCTTTAAAGAAGAGAAGACGATGGAAAGAGAGAAAGAAAAAAAATCTTTAATTATCAATCAAGGGCGTGGTGTGTATAACAACGCTTTAGTTTATATAAATATGTTTGCATGATATATCCAACAATATATTAATAAAAGTTTAAATGTCACGAACATGTGTGGTTGAATGCTGGGCGCACATGGCTTGCTGATTGGAAAATTTTGAACGCAGTCATTTGAAGTCATTTTGAGTGAAATTCCAATTATTTTGTGGTTGAAAGGAAGTCATGTGAAATTTGGATTTTCTGAAAAATATTAAAAATCTGTAAAGATCTAAAAATTAAAATTCGCAAGCTAGAAATTTCAAAAAATAATTTTAATTTTGTAATATTTATTGCTCTTGGGTCTATATCCTGCTAGATCCAATCACTGAAATATTAAAATTATAAAAATTGAAAGTTGATCCTTCAAATCATCCAGAAACTCTTGAAACAAAAAAAAAAGCTTGATGACCACATTATTAATGTCCATAGACATCATCTTTAGTAGCTATCCCAACTCATAGACTGACAGACGATCTGCAAACAAACTACCTATTCCAACTCCTAACAAGATAATAACAACAAAAAATAATAATAACAATATTAAGAATTATAATGAATGAAGAAATGTTAAAGTATGTAATTAAATTATAATTCAAGTATGATTCCTTTTAAGGAAGTAAAATGCCTTTAGAGAAATGAGTATGAAAACTTTTTTTTTACTTAAATTATTCTTCCCCACATTTTTTTGATGTTTCAATTTATAGTCATTACCGTAGCCTTTTTCTTTCTTTTTCTGTTTCTTTGTTGAACTTACTTTTAAGAGATTAATCTACAGCACTTAAAAAGAAGTGAAGAAGATGGTGAAGAAAATTGAGGAGGAAAAAGAGAATTTTTCATTTAATGGACTTTAAAATGAGAAGAAAAAAAGGCTAAAGTAAGATAATTTTTGATAATGATTTGTTTGAATTTTACTGAAATAATTTTTGGTTAAATTGATTTTATAAATTTTGGGTAACATTTTTATGAGGATTTTAAATAAGATTTTAAATTGTGATTAAGGATGTTTTTGTGGTTTAAAACTTGAACTTTTTTGCGGTCATCCAAAATGAGATCAATAACATCAAAATTAAAATCCTATTTTCGATTGTGTCTTATATTTTATGACCCCATAAACACGTAATCCAACCCATTTAATTTCAATCCAAGCCGATTCATAAAAAAACAAAATTGCAAATTGACACACTTGACATGAATTATCATGAATAATTCAGAATTCAAAGAATCATTTAATACCTTATGCTTCAAATTCACAACTCGAAATGTTCATTTCACCAAAAAAAAAAATCCTCATCAAATAGAAAGCTTCCCTAGAAACCATTAAATATCAAACTGAAATATCCATAAAAATAATTTTTTATTATTTGATATAAATTGATTACCATAGTGGCATGTTACTCATATTGATTTGCCAAAAAATAAAATATATTTCTAAATCTACAAAGTAGATTGATTGCCAGTTTCAATCCATTTTCATTATTGATAGGCGTTCTAAATTTCAGCTGAATACGAAAATAAATCACATAATAAATCCCATTTTGCAAATTAGTTCATTTCTTGTGAATCAAAATGTTTAGAATTAAAAAGATTTAAAAATCGACTATAAACATAAAATGTATTTTTGTAGATTCTAGAAAATTGTGGCTAATTCTCATTCAAACAATTGAAATTCACGTCCTTCATCCTACTTAATTTTATATTATTGCGAATTTTTCTCAATCGGCACTAATCAAAAGAAGACATAACAAAGTGAAAATTTAAATCGTCATGTTTTAAAAATAAATAAACAGAAATTTTATTTGCTCGTCGAAAAAAAAGAGGAAAGAAAGAAGAAAAATGTTAGAAATAAAATTATAGCTCATTCATATCAAAAGAATTCCTTTCTCAAAATTTTTACTTTTATTTTCATTGCTGTGTGTTTTTGAATTAAAGCAGGTGATTTAATGCAGAATGTCTGTAAAGAAGATTTTTGGAATTTTCTGAAGAAAAAATTAACTTGCAAAAAAAAACCATTGGACTACTTAATAACTTCTTAAAATTTAATTAGAGTCGTAGGATTCGAACCCTTATATTATTTTTCCTAGTTGTAAATTGAGTAACCAACCATAACTACTTTTATTTGTTTTATAAACTTTTGGCATAATCTTCTATAAAAGTGTTCTATAATCCTTTGCGTAGCCAGCATTATTGCTCGATATGCAAAGGTACCTCAATTTGAATAAATTCAAATTGAACTAGTGTCAAAACAAAGCTGCAAGAATCCATTTGTGCTGGTTTAATTAAAAAAAACTGATATTAAAATAGAAAATAGAACTGAAGTAACAAAATGCGCTATAAACTCTTCAAACCAGACAGTAAATTCACTAATTTCCTTAATGTTTCACAATATGTCTTTAAGTAAGCTTACAAACAGAAACAGCAAAAAAAAATCAGCAAAAATATTGAGAGAAGTAAATTACTGTCAAGTGAAAAGAACAAATTTGAGTTTTATTTGAAATACATTTTATGAATTTGTAATGTTTCATTAAATTTATTTTGATTTTTTAAATGCGATATGTCTCCTTTTGTGTTCTAAGAAATAGACGGTACATGCAATGAATAAAAAACAAATAATTTTTGTTGAATGATTATAAGAATTTGTTTTTTTCGTTTCATTTTATTTAACATGCTATTCAGTCTATCAACTGAAATTTAAATGATGTTAACAAATATTCTTTACTTTTTTACTGTCCATTGTCTCGATTCTCATATTTTATTATTACTATACATGTTCATGAGCGTATGAAATGATCATAAAATTAAGTTTAAATGCTGTTAATGGGCAAGATTTTGTCACTTGTGGGTGTTTTGTCAGAATCTTTGGAAGTGTTGATGTTTTTAGAATTTATTAATAGTCTTCAATTTTCCTAATATATTCATAAGTTTGTAGATCATCCGAAAATACTGACAAAACTCCTACAAGGGAGTCAAATACATTTTTACAATGTGCCACATTTTATTTCTTACACCTTTGTTTATTTGGCACACTTGAAACCGAGTTAAGCGAGGAAATTCAAAGTTTTCTTTTGTATTTCATATTTATTACGCGTTTTTATACTTTATTAATGTAAAGGAAGCTGATTCCGATTTCCATTTGTCTTGTGTAATATTTTATATCTTTTTGGCACATTATAAACTCAAAAAGTCATTTCTTCTTTTACAATTAAATATAAATAAAATATTACATAAAAATTACACGTGTTTTAATAAATAAATGATCATCAAGACTGTTCTTTCCATAGAATGCATAATTAAATGTTTATTAGACAAATTGTCATTGTATTTGATGATTTCATAAATTTTTTAAATATCTAGGAAGTGATGTATGGTGTTTTATGTCATTTTAAGATGCTACTAAATTTAACAGATGATTTAGCTTTTCCGTTTTTAAGAACATGAGATTTTATGACAATTAATCTATCAAAAATTTAGGATGATTATATTCAAACATATCACAATAAAATTCAACAATTTGCTTTGCAACTTAATTCAATTTTGATAAATTCATACCAAAGTGTTTTATTAAACTAGAAAATAAAGGAATTGATCATGTATGCATTCTATTAAAAACGATACTTTTAGACACCTTCATACCTTCTTCTACAACCTTCATAACCAATATACTCATTTTCAATTCATTCTGTTTTAAAAAAATCATTGACTTCAAAATAATCCCAAAGTACAGTCAACAACCCAAAGACATTATCCATAATTGAGTAATGAGTGATGAGAATTATAAAGTGAAGTGAAATTAAGGCATGAAAAACACACATAAAGTATCATAAAAGCAGTAAATTTTCTTCAATTACATTCAATACAAATTGCAGTTTAATTTTTTTTTATCTCTTTCCTTTTCTCAAATTGAAGGAAGCTCAAAGAAAATTTCTCTTTCTCTTAAAAAGTCATTGGAAGATATGTGAATTGACAGCGAGACCATAATTATATGTACACAATTTAAGTTGATATTATGTAGATATTTAATATATACACATATGCAGAAAAAAGTAAGAAGTAATCACGCATCACCTTACAAGCTGCCTTATTTCTTCTCGTTGTGCCTCGTATTTCTTTTTTCATTTCATCCACAATTCATCATTGTCTCTCTCTCATATACCGTAAAACCGTTTTGTGTGTATATAGACGCTTACTTTTGTGCATGAGCATTTTTGTGCGCTGCTCACCAAAAATACGAAAAAAAAAATCACTTTAAATGAAACACAATTTTATGCACTGACGGTTGATGCTCAATCAGTGAAAAATATGTCTGCATAACAATAATTGAATGTACTGTTTGTTGTTTTGTGCTAAGGCAACAAATGTCACTTAAACAGCAAATCAATTTCCACCAAGCATTGCATTATTCACTTCTTTTCTCATTTCCACGCTACTGGATGCATTATCTTGTGCCAAGGGTCGGTTACTTTAAACTTCTTGGTGTACTTTTTTCCTTTTAAAAACTTTTAATGTTGCGATCAAAAGACGTCCATGAAATATTTCTAAAACTTCACCGTACCCATCCACAGTCAGCTCTTTAGAAGTGCAATTTTTTGTTTGTGATTTGCACTGAATTGAGAGATTGAGGATGAGACAGAGCCGAGAGTGAGAGAGAGAAGAAAAATGTGAAAATGACGCTTCAATCAAAAGCAATTAAGAGTTGAATCTCTCGATGGAATAATTTTCATGCGCAATTGTCCAACATTTCATCATCCGATGGACATTCGTCGCCGATATCAATCATTTCATCATCATCATTCTCGTCGTCATCAAAGTTCTTAGGACTTCCGTTAGATTTATTACCCGATTTTGAGTCGCAATCTTCTTGCTGCATTCGTTTGAATTTTGTACGACGATTTTGGAACCAGACTTTCACCTTAAAAACATTGTTTGATGAGTGGAAGAAAAAAAGAAAATAACAATAATAATGAATATAGATTAATGGTTTTGTAATAATCATGTACAATAATTTGATAATAACAATTTTTATTTTCACAACTTCACTCTTTTAGTTTTGCACAAATTTCATATTAAAATAAGTGGTTTGTTGGCATGCAAAACTGACTATAGCTAAATTGAAATTTCAACCATCCCACAAACGAATACACTTTGTTTTCCTTATGCAACCTTACAATGTTTATAGATTTTTCATGAACATTTTGTCTTACAGAACAAATTGAATTTGTAGCCGTCGGATTGAAGAATGGAGTTGCAATGTGCTGCAAAATTTCACAATGTTATGACATATTTAAATTTACCGCATCACTTACTATTGTATACAATCACATCTAACTCAATTAAGTCAGTTGTAAATTTGAAGACATTGAAATTTGTTTTATTCGGATTTTTAAAAGCATTTAAATTGAAATTCGGAACACTAGTCATGAAGAGAAGTTAATGAGTTCTACATGCACTTTAGATTTTTTTATGCGCCATCAAATGTAAATTTCTATTCAAACTTCTTTAAATTCAATATTTTTTCTGTCTTAAATACACGTTATGTGCCTACAAATTTGCATAAAGAAAGGCCTTTCCTTTCTCTCCCCCATCGATACCTATTTCTTACAAAGCTTTATAAAGCAAGCCATATGTGAGTCCATGCCTATTTCCCATATCACATTTTGTAAAGAAGGAAATTTCATGTGTAATGCAATAAATATTCATTGTAAACAGCAATCAATTATTTCACAATTAGAATACTTAGTAATTAATTAATGTTTATGTATATATAGTCAACTTCCAAAGTTGTGTGGAAGCAATAATACATACGGTAATATTCTGATTGCTTTAACATGAATTTATACATTAAACGAGCAACCTTCCGTGTTATAATACCATATTTAGGAATATCAAGCCTTTCTTTTCATTTGAAATTACATCAAGACAGGAGAGAGATAGAGGATGTATCGCGTGCATTAATTTTATAAATCATTTTGGGGTGCTTTTATGAAACGTTTCCGTTCTTGTGACTTAAATCACTTTTTAAAGTTCTCTTTTTTTGTGTTGTTCATACGAAATGAGAAAGAAATTGCAGGAATACAATTTATTTGGAATTATTTTTGTGAAGCATATGCTGTTTGTGGTGTAAGATTTAAAGATTCGAAGCTAGTTGCAAGAAAATTCAGAATAATGAAGAGAGTAGCTAATGAATGACTGTAGAAGATCTCCCTATAACTGCTATATGTATATACTAATGTAAAACAATTCGGGTTCGATGGGAATCGAACCCACGACCTTAAAAGAGGCGATCTCTGACCACTCAATTAGAGATTCCTGCCACTCGACCACCGAGGCACTTATCTCATTTCGGTTATCCGTCATACACATATAACCAGTTCAACGCGAGCCCTATGCTCAGACCTATCAACAACAGATATGCTTGCGAGCCATATCCACAATGATCTGCTCTAAAAGCAATCCCTAAAACTGCGCTTTATCCCACCAGCTTCAAATAATTTCTACAAATCCTCAAGTGTTCTTTCACTTAAATTTCATAAAAATAAAATCGCCAAAGGTAAGTTTAAAATTTTAAAATTGCACTTTAAAAATTATTGTGAGTCATATTGAAGGCGCCTTTTATTATTAAGCTTAAGCTCCGTTCTGCTTACAATTTTTTTTTTTTTTTGAGAATATACAAATATTTTAAATTATTATGTACACACAAACGTGTTTTGGAAGAGTGATGAGGAGAATAAGAAGAAATAAAATGGATCAAATAGAGCACACGAAAAAGTATTTACTTTAACATATTGCTTCAATTCTGACATAATTTCAGACAATTTACAAGAGTCTATTAAAATGTTAATCAGTCTTAATTCGCATTTTAAAGAAGGTAAACGATTTTTTTTACGTCATAATAATGATTATGTACATTATTATAATTAGCAGTAACTGATTATTTTGAGAGGCAAAAACTTAATAAACCTAATCAATTTGCATCATACTGCGAGTATTAAACTGTGATTTAATATTAATTTTGTAGCATACTGTATATTGAGTTGTGTTATGGGTGTAGCTGCTGTACAGAATAACTAGAATTTGATATTTTTTAATGATTGAGCAATAATAATGAGTCAGAAAATTTATGGAGTGTATGAGTTTTGCAATTAGTTAATTTTAGTTCAAAATAACACAGTAATATAGATCATAATTTGTTGCGGTAACAAATATCTCCTGCTGTGAGTCTGATTCCGGGACAGTGTTTAGAAAATCTATAGGAAAACATCAAAACCTCGAAAATTTCCCTGCTATAAAAAAAGATTTTGTCACATTTTTAAATTATGAAATTTGTAATAAATTAAACTTTAAACTCAAAATTGCTTTAAAAATTAATTTAATTAAAATAAAGAATTTCAAAATAATTTGATTTGTTTGCTAAAAAGCTCCAAGTAAATGGAATCACCCTTGAATACGTCCCTGTACACTTTAAATGCATGTCTAAGAATATTCAATTAATTCCCGTTCCAATTCATTTGAATAATACAAATCACGCTAGCTACATTCATTATATTCTTACTTAAGCTACTATTTATTACCAATTCAATCAATTAAGCCATTTTTGCATTAGCAAAAAAAATTGGATACTCATTTGTTATAAAGCAATAAACTTGAGTTTGAATTAATTTCACAATTTAAACAAGAGGATTGAAAAAAAATGCTGTTTCATTGTTAATTTGAAACTCCTTAATGCTGTCACTATTTACTATTAATTTCAATTAGCAAATAGTGTTTTGTTTATGATCAACATTGTGGTAAAAAAAGCGGTAAAAAATTAAATTAATTTAAATTGCAAAATAATTTGCGAAAAAGTGCAGATAATTTTGTGCCTTTTATTATTTTGTAACATGTAGCACAATAAAAAATATAAAACAAATCAGGTAAAATGTAAATTTATTTAAAGAGACCAATTAGCTGGAAAGACTTGATGGAATATAAAAGCAAGGAGTAAAAAGAAAATTGAAAGCGCGAACAATTTGCATTCTTTCATTTACAAAATAAATGAAAAGAAACGAAAAAAAAATTTGCTACGGCACCAGCAGCACCACAAACAGCAATTATCTCGTTTATTTGCGATCCAATTTGTTTATTTTTTTTTTCTCTTACTTCATTTATGCATGTGTTAAGTTTCACGTTTTTATTTTTATTTTACTTATTTTTTTTTCTCTTTACTTAAGAGTATGCTTTCTCGAAATCCCGGTCCCGACAAATTTTCGGGATCGGGATCGGGATTGAAATTTTTCGGGATTTCCCGGGAAATCCCGGGAATCCCGAATGTGTAAAAAAATTTAAAAAACAGCATTTTTCTGCTTTTTTCCCAAAAAAAATTATATATTTTTTTGCTACTTATACGGTCATTTATTCCTTAATTAATTAGTTATACTTTATGTGTTACAAGGTAGATGTTTTAATCCATGTTTCCTTTGAAAAATGTGAACATAAACAAAAATAGAAAATAAATGTTGATAAAGATGTAAGTTAAAAAGTTATAGAAAACGGTGTGAATATAATAATAAAAATTAAGCATTAATGAAAAAACTTTTAACAAATGTAATTGCATTTAGATTCTTGTCAAGTAAACGTTTTCTTTGTTTTGTAAGAATTTTGTTACTAAAAGAGAAATTTCGTTCGCTTTGAGTTGAGGTCGGCTGCATTGTTATCAATGCATCGTAAAGTTGATCTAATAAAACGGTTCTCTTCTTATTTTTGTCATACCAATTAAACTCTCTTTTCAAGTTATTTGGTTCTGTTGCTGCTGCATCTGTTTTTAATGATGTATATTCAGATATGCTTAGTTTCAGTCTATCTCGAATAGAAATGTTTGACGGTTGGATTTGATTTGCACTGGATGTTGAAGCTTCCATAGCTCCATTTGTAGAGTTTTTGACAAAATACTTCTTCAATAAGTCAATGCCAAGTTTATGTATTGCAGCTTTTGTTGACGATTTAAAATGCTTGTCTAAAGAAATATATTGAGGATTATTCAGGTAAAGTATTAAGTCAATTAATGTTCCATTTCTTCGTGCACCTATGCGAGCGCAATTCATATCGTAAACCTTTTGAGACAATAATGTTCCTTGTAGCAACAATTCGTCTAGCAAAAAGTTAATTGTTCCTTCAGCAATTAATAAATCGTTTGATTTACGCAATAATTCTTCTGTCGCGTATTTAGCAGGTTCTAAAACATCAATAATTTCCTAAACTAAAAAACCGGGATTTTCAATCCCGATCCCGATAAATTTCGGGATCCCGGGATTGATCGGGATCGGTAAATCCCGGGAAATCCCGATCCCGATCCCGATAGCAAGAAAGCATACTTAAGAGTTGATAAGTAAAGGAATGAATGGGGTGTGATTAGATGTGACGCAGGTAGGTTGAAGTCATTGAATATTAACATGTTGGTCAAAAGCTCAGCTTAGGGGATCTCAATTTATTGGCCTTGAATCGAAATGATGCATTAATCTGAGGAAAGACAAAAAATATTTAAATTGAGTGATCCAAAAAAGTAAATAGAGAGAGTCCAGAACATGTGTTCTTTTAATAAGTTCTCCATAATTTTTTGATATGAGTTTTGATCCTAACCATCAAAAGTTTTGGCCATCACATGTAGTGTGAATGACTCTTCATAAAACAATTTAATGATTTGACCCTTAAAGATCCCAAAGCTTCTCATCTGAACAAAAATTAAATAAAACAGACAAATGCAAAAATCGATAATCCCAAACGCATCTACACCATAAAAGTTTGTTGAAGCAACTCATCGTTTTCTTTCTTTCTCTGTCTTCATTTAAAATTATTGTAAATGCGAAAAACATGCAGAACTGCTCGAAAATGGTTTATTGCTACATTTACTTTACTTACTGTTTAGTGAATATATTTTCAACACCCAACCATTTAGTGTTAAAATTGAGCATATTATTTTTACATAATAACGAGGTTGCCACCCTCCATTTACGTCTTTCTCTCTTCATCATAATCATCGTCGTAGTCGCTACAAGAATACTATATAGATGCTCTCAATTTGTCATGTCTGTCAGATCAATTTATTTATAAATCATGTAATTATATTTAGTAGTTGAAACCCCGAACAATTTAATAACATTCGTAGAAAAGAGAAAGATATGATTTTAGAAGCACGAAATTGATGTGAAATCGTGAGTGCGAACAATTTTCATTTTTATCATGCCTTAATCAAAATGATTCTCGAGAGAGATTCGAATATAAAAACATTTATCATAAAGTGTTTATACATTTTTTTTGTGTGTGATATTACTGCTGCTGCTGTTGTGTTGAAATATTGCCATTGTAACAGTCTATGTAATGAATAGAGATGAACACACCAGAGTAAGTTCTCATTTAATTTATTTCCTCCCTTTTTTCTCATTCCAGTAGAAAATATAAAGTTCCAAACCTATGATGTGCCAAGAGACGTTGTCAACGTTGATTCGAAATAAATTCAAACTCGTTTCGAATGTTTTTCGAACAAAATTTCGCAATTTCGAAAAACTTTTTTTTATGAAAATTTCAATTTTTCGCAATTTTTGACTTAATTTACTTATGATTACAGAATTAAATCATTCTACTATGTCTTTTAACACTAATTTAATCGTCTAATCGGTGATAAATGCAGCAAACATTAGTTTAAAATGCTTTTTTTTCAAAAATATTATAAATTTTTTTGTTGTTTACATTGGAAATAAAAATGTTATTAATTCACTTGCACTAATTGTTTAGTAAATCAGTAATGATTCATTACATTTGAGTGGATTCGTTTAACATTTTGATGATGAAAAACAAATATTTAAACTATTAATTAGAGATATTAGTCATTAATAATTTAACGTGTGAAAAAAAATTTGAACTTATGCTCGAAAATAAGGTCCCAAAAAAATTCAATATCGAAAATAAGGACTCGTTGGCGTACCATAGTTCCAAACGTTTTGGTTGTGCTCAAATTGTCGGGTGAAAATTTTGCTTTTTTTTCTTCTGTGAGGAAAGTTTTGTCAGATTTTTGGGGTAGGTGATGTTGTGGTTTTAGGCTATGGATTGACAGAGATTCTTCCTCAGCTTTTGGTGGATAGACAAAAAGGGGATAGTCATAGAAAGACCATATAGACAATTTTGGTCAATGATTTCTAAATTTATTCTATTGATATCCCTTAGTTTATAGAAACACTGACGATTCGTATTAAGATCTTAAAGAATATTAAATTTGCACATCAAATTTCAACTAAAAATTACACAAACCACTTCTTATCTTAATCTCCAGAACCTGATAATTTACAAGCCCCTCAAAAAAAAATCTGACGAAATGTCCCCCAAGGGTTCATTCTTCCTTCAACTTCAATTTTGAAAACATGAAACGTGTGTATAAAAAAATATAATCGTAATAACATTTTTATGTATTCCAATAAAAAAAGTATCTCCGTGATATTTATTCACTTCCTCCCCTTCTATTATGTTTTATTTCTCGCAAACATCATTTAAACACTTCACAATTTATTTTTTATGCCTTTTTCTGTTCCCTTCTCACTCACTCGTTCTTCCTATGCTCTTTCACAAAATGACAATCTTCTTAAATCGTTTAGTGAATTGAGCAAGTTTGGAAGTAAGGAAGAGAGATGTATAGAAATTGTATGTGTCTATAGGACAGAAATGCTCGTCGGTTCTGTCAATTTTCGTTTATTTCATGCACACTCGGGTGATTCTATGGATAGAAATGGTGCCAGATCTAATTGCTGTTGATTTTAAGGTGCAGCTTGAACTGAAAGATGACTGCTGGAGATTTGGACTTAGATTTTTATCTTTTGATTGTCAATTCTATGTAGGTTGACTTCTGTTTATGAAATAATTTTATTTTTGATCAATTAATTAATTTCAAGCAATATGAGTGCTTTAAAATTAGATTAATTTTAATGGGATCCGAACTCGCGTCCTTACAAAAGATGGCTTCTTAAGTTAGATTTGATGTTAAGCCTGTCAGCTAATAAGACCTTACTCTCACAATAGTAGATTCGCCCAGAACAGCTTGTATAGAGTCGACTTCGAGCTCTAGATTCGCATTCATATCATTTGAGACCTTAGGCTTTACTTAACTTAGACACCACACGATCAATGCCAGCAAGAACTCCCTCCATTGATAGAATCTCCCATGACAAAAATGATGGCAATATTCTAACAATACACACAGCAAGCAGCTTAATAATTTGCGCTACTATTCTCACTCTATTTTCGATTATCATCTTGTTTTTTTCATTGCTCTTGCTGGTGTGTAGCATGTAATATCATACAGAGAATATATTTCATATCAAAACACAACACCCCGGGTAACATTTTGAAATTGAGAGTGAATCATTTTTTTTTTTGAGGGGTGATTTTCTCTCTTACTCACACTTATAATTGACTAATCCAGGCTTCAATGAAATTTATGATGTGGAAAAGTGCTTTTTGTATAAGTAAATTTGGCTGTGATGATTTTTATTGCATGCTCGTTTTTTTCCTTTCCCTTCTTTCTCATTTTTTTTTTTATTATTTTTATAGGGCTTTATTGCTTCTGTTTGAATAGATAGACGTACAATGTAGGACGCAATGATTTAATGGTGGAAATGAATATGTTTTTTAATATTATATCATATTCTTGCCAAATTTATTCATGCCAAAGTTACTTCCACTTCTTTCTCTTTTATGAATGCTATTATTATGGATTTATACACACAATAGACATCAATATGAAAATGGGAATATACATTCTAGTAATACATTTCAAATTACGACAACGCATTGAATTGAAATTGGCCTAAAATAGTCTTCGGTGTCTCTTCGACATGGAAATTTAATCTCGACATGATTTTTTTTTCCTTTTTGTTTCTTTATCGCACTTCCATTTCAATTTTGAGTGTTTCTTCTTCATTTTTTTCTGTGTTTTTCGTGTTAATCGATTAAACTTTGTCTGCTCGAGCTGACTTATTTGTTATGTGTGAAATAAAGTGATTTTTATATTTTGGATTAGACATAGACTCAATGGGTATCTACACGGAATATCTGGATAAAGGTGAGAATTTTGTTGTGTTTGTTTCATTATTATGCATATTTTGTAGAAAATGAGCAACTAAGAACATCTTTTTATATGTTTTATTACAGCAAACGGCAATGATTTTTGAAGTTTTTAATGTTTTGATGTTTTAGTAAATAGCAGGATATGCTGGAGGCTATCAAGTAATACTGCATGATTGATAATGCCAGAGATACAGAGTTTAAGTTGGAACTTTGCCAATCTTCTTAGTAATTCTCGAAAGATTAGTGTTAAGAGTAGTAGGAGTTTGCGACTGCAAATATTAAGGACGCGGGTTTGATTCCTACTTGGGATATGTTAATTTTCATATTTTTCTGCTAAATTAATTTATCAATATTAAGTTGCTTAAGTATAATATCAAGATTCAATAGTATATTGTCAATAATTTGGTTATCCCACTTAATAAAAGCAACTTATAAGCTATCAATAAAATTTCGTCATCAGTTAAAGTAATAAATATGACAAAGTTTCATTATGGAAATCTTTCCATAAATATATCCACTAATCTATGCGTCAATAAATTGCTTGTAGCATCCCAATATGGTAAAATCTCAACAAACTCTCGCGCAATAAACAAGTCTCATTTAGATAATATTAATCATTATATCCAAAGTGGCTCTTAAAATTCCCAAACAGAACTATTTCTTATATTTCATAGCTATACCAAAAATTAAACAGTGCATAACCCTATTACTATAATTCTCATGCCAACAATACCAAATAAAGAAATATTCGAACCATGTTCATGACTCACAAAAAAAATGAAGAAAATTGAAAAATAATTTCAAACTAATTTTTAATTTTCATAATCTCCCCCATTTAACATTCCATCCATCCATCCATCCATTTCCATCTACTTCATTCACTCACCTGAGTTTCAGTTAAGCTTAATTGCTGTGCTAATGTTTTCCGTTCGGCACCAACTACATAATGATTTCCCTCAAAGGCATGCTCCAATTTTAATAACTGCGATGGCGAAAAAGCAGTGCGCACTCTCTTTGGCTTCCGAAATGGTTGAAGAAGAAAATCTGGAAATGCTATGTGATTTGTAGATTATCAAAAAAAAGGTAAGGAAGAAATAATACAAGGCAAGGAAAATGTTTTGTGGAAAGAAAAATGGAAGTGAAAAATGAGAAAAAAAACTCAATGTGATTCATATTGTATACATCGAAGACTAGTCCAAACTGCCTTAAATCCCACACCAGAGCCACTTAAAATAATTGTTGAAAATAATTTGTGCTATTTTGTAAATGAATTGAGACTTAAATATGCTACAACATTTAAACTGTGCCTTCGCTTTATGCATCAATGGATAAGTGTTGCATTAATGACTCTCATTCGACGGCTCCTGCATAATGGAACATAAACACAAAATCGAATTAATGCAATTTTTCAATTTGATCAACCACCCATGAAAATAGTGTTATGCTCATTTTTGTGCTCATGGCAATTGAGTTGAAAATGAAGAACTTTTTATTTTATTGTCTGTGCAGGTTGTGAAGCACAAAAAAGTTATTGAGGGTGAAATGCATGAATTTCTTGACAGTAAAAATGTGTGTAAAATTGCAAAAATAACAGATATAAAAATTATCACACATGTTGATCTTATGGCAAATTCATGTAAATTGTATGACCTTTTCAATGAATAATTTTGGTTGTTGTAGGTAAATGGGGGAGTACGTTTATCATTAATGATCAATTACTTGTGTAGTTTTATTTAATTTGCATTTTATTTGAAGCCGTATGCTGAAAGTTGAGGTTGAATGAGTATTTTTAGAGCGCATTTTTTATAATATTGGCATATAGGCTGCTAAATCAACTTAGAACTATCGTCAATATTTGTAGAACCCCCAAAAAATATTTCATTATCTTCGTTCATCAAAAACCCAAGAAAATAGAGTAATTCTTCTAAAAATAGCCGACGGACAATCCAAATTTTAATTCTTTACAATCCTCTAGCACAAAAGCTGCTAAGAAATCACCGTAAAACATTCATGACATGAGCAATAATAATATTAAAGCAATTTCGTTTAATTAAAATATATTGATCTCAATTATTACCACTCATATTTGCAATACACAATAATATTCATAAAGCTTATTATCCCCCAGAAGAAAAGGTGTAAAAGAAACTTGTTTTCAGCATAATTCAGATTGACGCTCAATTATCGATTGACTTTTAAATAGCTTCGTATGATAATTTATTTGCTTAGCGTCGATGTCTATTTAAACAGTTAAGCAATTACATATTTTTTCTTTGTTGAGAGTAAATGTATTAACATAATTATCAACATGAATTACACTTAAGTAGCAGGTTGTTGCTGTATCAGCTTTTCGATATTATTTCTCACATGAAAAGCATGTCTCTGGTGATAATTTGACTTGCTGGATATGAGATAAGACGTGGAATTGAGAATTGTTGAGATTTTTGAAGTTTTAATGTTGTGTTTACTAGTTTTGCCACTTTTTTTGATTGATTAATGCTTAAAGTTAGCCTCTGCTTTGTTTGTTTTCCATAAAATTTTGATGAAAACTTTTTGAGGTGAGGAATTTTTTTAAAAATGGCAAAAAATAATTTTAAACAACAAAAAACCGTTAGTAATATTTGTTTAAATTAATTTACTTTTTCTCGTCATCATGCGTTAAGAATTCAATGTACTTAAATCTTCCTTACTTATCGACTCTTCCATTCCCTCATTTCTCACTTGAAAAAAAAAATCTTAAATGCAAATTTTTCCTCTCGTCTTTCTTTAATGTTGATTTGTCATGAATGATGATTAGGGATATGTTATCACCTCATCCAATTATGGCATATAAACATCTTTTTGAATCTTTATGATGTCGAAAAAATGATTGCATCGATGAATGAATGATTATACGCATATCACAACATGTTATTACTTAATAGCTGCCAATTAGTTGCTCATTTTATCATCGACAATTTTCGTTATCTTTTCTTACATTTTTCAAACGCCGTTTATAAAATAATAAAGGATGGAATGAAATGAGGAGAGAAAATCGTGTAGATATGTAGCAAGAACATGAGATGAGATAAGAGTCATTTGCCTGCCAAAACATAACATACAAACATACATAACATTATTATAATTTAGAGAATGTTAAATGACGACATATTAAAAACGTAATGATGATAAATATACGGTAATTTTTTTAAGCTCCATTTTTGGGCTATTTTGGTGAACAGCATAACAAACCAACATCCTAAATTACCTTACTCCTCTTTCCTTTCACATTCTTCATCCTATATAAAGAACATATATTATATGTTGATAATGTAATATTTTCTGTTGCTGTCCACACACAAAAAACGATTTAATTGTGTTCATTAGCACATTTTTCACAAAACAATTTTAAAAGTCATTAGAGTACGGTACTTAAAACGCATTTAGGATGCCAATTATATCATGTCAAAATGAATACTCAAAATTACACCTAAAAAGGCTCTGGACATCTAATGATCGTTCATGATTATGATGATGATGATGACGAAAATTTACTGAATGTAAGAAAATTGACTATGCATGCGTGTGAGAATTTCAACAATGACGGTTAACAGGAAAGAATTAAACAATTGAATGTCAAAAAAATGAAAAATGAAAATGCTGTTTTTGTGCTTACTTCCCCCTTCCCATTCCTCTTCTTACACGTCTCAATTTCATGCTCTCATTATGAAAATCAATTCTTATTCATTTTGTTGTTTATGAAGTGAAATACAAGTTAGTAAAAAAAATATGTTATAAAATTAACTTTAATGAATTATTCAAGGGGATTATTAAGCTTTGAAATTGATGCATTTTATCCTTCTTATTGAGAATTCTTTGTGGTTTTCCTTCATTAGCAGTTTCGGTAACTCATAAATTTTATCTTGAAACATTTATTACAAAACATTTTGGATTGTATTGTTAAGCAAATTGACACTGGAAAAGACTTTAAAAGTTCTTTTATGTTATGAAGATTGAGACATTATGAAAGCATAATAAGTTTGAGATCTCGTGATTTTTTCAAATTATCAATAAATCTTGTTTTAAAGAGAAACTAGAATTATTTAATATGATTTTTGATTGATAATGTTTTGTTCTACGTGTGGCTTTTTGTTAAATATTGTAAACTTACAGTAATTGCATTTCTAATTAAAATTCAAAATAAATTAAAATTAAATTTTAAAATAATTTAATTTCAAAAATATTAAAAACCCAAAAATGTCAAGATTTAAAATTTACATCCAACCAATCACAAAGTATAGACTTAATCTCCTTGTTCAGTCATTTGTTCATCTCATTTATCATTGATGGAAATATTTTAATCTCTAAGAAAATAATTATGCACATTTAAGTCGTGAAGTTCCATGGCATTGTCACTATAATGTCTAATCTTGTACAAAATAAATAAATATAAATGACTAAAGGATTTATAATTATTCTTCTCAATCTCATACAATGCCTTAATCTATCAAGTAAATTTATCACGATAGTATTAATAAAACATATTCCAAATTGGTAGCGATTAAGGCAGCAACTCATTTGGCGCCCGTAATATGTAATATGTGTACACACAATACAAAAAAAAATATAAAATAAAATAAAAAAAAATCTTTTATTTTCGATTGTTAAACACATTTTCATATTATTATTTTAATATATTGTTGTTTAAACGTGAATCCACACCCTGAAAAAATCACTTTTTTCAGTATAATTCATTCATTCATTCAGTTTAAAGCTAATTGAATGCAAGAGAAGAAATCAAGTTAAATATAATGCGATACTTATAAATTTATTTATCGCCCACTCATCCATTAAATGTCTATTTGAAACGAATACGCGATACAAAACTGTCCCGAGTCGTATGTTACAAATTTTATGTCACTTTTTATGGTCACATGGAATTAGGTTATGTTTTGGGAATTTTAATGCAGTTCGTAACCTTAAAAATCTATCTTGGTCCATATTTTCAGACAATTTGAAGTTATTTTAACTGTATGAGATATGAGTAGCTGCAGAGACCCTGCAATCAAATCTAAAACTTAATCTCAAGACAAGAATAAAAAATTAAGTTGTAGCCAATTCCTTCACATCTCGGGCATATATCCAAACAAACGTCTCTTCTTATTTCTTTTTATTATAATTCTCTGTGTTATTTTTTTCGCGAGTAGTCGGCATGTAGTTGGTTGTTTCTTTTTTTCAAGTGTTCCTTCTCTTTTACATTATTAAGTCACATTCAGATATAAAGCAAATTAATTTTATTATTATATTATGTGCATTCGTTTTTTGAATTTTATTTATTGACGCCTTTTAATTCGTTACGATAGTTAACTAAGTGGCTTGCAACTTTGAAAGATTTATTGACTTATTGAGAATGAGAAAATATTCATAAAATATCCATTTGAGGTGAGATGATGTGAAAGAAGTTACTCAATCGATGAGAAAATGTGGATTTCGATATTTTATTGACTAAAATGTTGTTTAATTAATGTTTTGAAGAATTCTAGCTTTGCTCACAACTAAAGAACAATATTCTTCTATCAAATCTAATAATTAACTTGTAATTAAGAAATAATATTCATTCAAAATCTTCATGTGAGAAATCCAAGAAAAATCAATAATCAATCCAATGTCATTTATGATAATTTCAAAATCAACCCAATCTCACTTAACTCATTATAATTAAGCGTATTTATCTAAAACAGTGTGAAATTCATTCATTATCTCTACAAAACCATCTTCCATGAACAAATTTGTATCAATCCGATACCTCATAACGGTTTATACCCATTTTTAGCATAGCATAATTGGCTTTAGATATAATCTCACAAACATCTTCACCCTTTAATAGCACAAAATATTATTCAAATTATTTTTATTTCTATCCTCACAGTTTTTTATGGCATCTTGTTATTAAGTAGCTTCCAAATTTGATTTCATCATGCCATTCATGATTATGATGGCCAATATCATCCAATGATGCTATTTTTTGATTAAAACAATAAAATTATAAAACAGAAATGATGTTTATGTGCGTCGATATGTGGCTACATCATGATTGTATCTGACTTGAATTGGTTTATTGATTAAGTAGCAAAATCGCTTTTATTAGCTTTTTATATTCTCGTAATTTACCGTTAACCCCGAAAAAGATGTAGTTTTAGAGGCAGAGCTATATTTTAAAGTGATTATTGACGCATTTTGAAGCAAATGTAACAAAATTTTTGAGACTTATTAAAAAAATTTCAAAATTGTCAAAACTTAAACCAGCCAATCTGATAACAATCAGTCACTTCCTTTCGCCAAAAACAATCGATTAAAAGTCGATTGAGGATGAGAAGTGAATAAATCAAATGATAATAATAAAAATTATATATTTACGAAAAAACGTCAGCAGTCAAAAGTGTGATAATTAAAACTCAATACTCACTTCCAGGAAATCGATGAGGAAATATTCGTCCATGTCGATTGAGAAGCCATGGATATAATGGATAACTTTCACGCTGTATATTTGGATTGTGTAAATGAGGTGGCAAATGTTGTGGCATAGGTCCATTATATCCACTCTGTACTAGTGCGGCGGCTGCATGAAATTGTGCTAAAAGATGTGGATGTCCTGTGGTGACATCAGGATAATGAGCAGGTAATTGTGTATTGTGTGAGACAATTGGACGAATTAAACCAGCAGGAATTTCTGGAACAATAAGCGGCTGTCCTTTTTGTCCTGAAGACATCACAGTTGAAGGTATTTGAGTTGCTGGCAATGAAGATTGAGATTGTGGACCTTGCTGATTTTCATTTTTATTATCACTTATGTTATTATTAACGTTACAATTATTATTGTTATTATTGTTGGAACTTGAAAGTCTTCGGATTGATTTATCTAAATTTTCAGGTGATCCACATCTCGCACGTTTCAATAACTGTGAATATTCATGACTTAAAGTATCATCGGATTTAGAAAATTTCTCCATCTTCTCTTGTCCATCATCAGAATCATCACAATAATCACCATCGCCTTTCACTCGATCTCCAACAATTGATTCAATTGAAAATCCAATTTTAGGCTTTAAAGTCTGATGATTTAGAGACGTTGCCGAAGGCATCATTTTTTTCTTTTTAATTCTTATTTAATTACGAATAAAAATTTAATTTAAATATCACATAATAATTGGATATGCAGTCACACAATCAGTCACAAAAACACACACACGCACACGAAAGGAACTAGCTATGTATGTAAAGTCATATAAATTTGTTTTATATAAAAAAAGCCCTCAGTTTAGTTATCTTAATTAATTGGCGATAATGAGATTTAATTTGTATGTCTTAATGAATCTTTAACGAGACAGGCAGACTGTGTGCTTATAGCTTCACACTATAAGAAATTTGAAACGCACCGAATATACGAATGCACAACGCGTAATAAAAAACAGAATTTATGGTGAGCTAATGAATTGACTTGAGAGTATGTTGTTATGTACGTATTTTAGGACGGCACTTAATATTATTAACACATTCATACTCTTTCTGTTCGAGAGCGTTTACATAGAAAGGCGGAGCAATTGGCTGCGGGTGAAAAAATGGCAATAAAGAAACGCCCAATTTTTTACTCTCTCTCACTTATATCCTCTCTCTATCGACTATATACAGCCAGATTCTGTTTTATTTCTGATGAAAAAATATAAGTAGCAAGTGGTTTCATCATGCTCGAGAATTACTATGGAAATAAGTAGCAATTCAGATTGAAAATTGTCTTTAAATTGATAAAAAAAATTATTTTGCAAATAAAAGAATTACCAAATCATCACGAATTGCTAAAAATGAAATAATTGGGATTGTTTAATGTGGATTTGAGGGGGAAAATGAATTTAATTATGTTTAATCTGCACAGAAAAAATTAATGAGATTTAGAGTGGAAAATGGATCTTTTGAAAATAAGTTTGTTTTTTTAAATAGCTTGTTGGCGGAATGGTTAAGTACTTTGATACCTAATAATTCCAATGCCGAAGCAGCGATCATGGGTTCGAGACTTGACATGGAAAAATTTTCACTTTTCCCTTTTTCGAACCATATGAACTGCCAACATTTGTAGGTTCCAGGCAGTAATGCCATCAACCCGAATAGCACAAGTCGGATAATTAGAAATTTTTTTTTCAGAGATTTAAGTTAAGTTCACTTATTACGTTACGCTTTTTTCACCCCCCTCCCCCCTTGTTAAAATATGTTACAACTCACAACCCCCCCCCCCCCCCCCCCCTGAACGTTCATAATTTATTTTATTTTGATAATTTTTTATTCTAAAAAGACGGTTAAATTTCTTTTGTATTTTTTTTTCTTAAACATCAAAATACTATACAGCTAAATAGGTCATGTTTTGATTGATACTATTAGTATTCTCATGAATTATTGGATTGAGATATAAAGCAAAAATTTGTTGTTTTTTTTGAAGAAAATTCAAAAATATTATGCCCAATCGAATTTTGGAAAATTCAATCAACTTTGAATGCAAATATCACAATGATGGGATTATATTAATTATCATATGAATGACAGATTCAGAGAGATTTATTTTTAAACTTATGATTGATTTAATTTTGAAAATTTCCACAAAATATGATTGTATTTTAAAGTCTTGTAAACCAGTTTTCTATTCATTATTTTTTACTTTATATAACAAAAACAATGTATTGCTTAGCTATCAAAAGAGATCTGGACATTTGTAAATCATTAAAAAGGTGGAAAATTTAAAAAAAAAAGCTGAAAAGACAGATGACAGTTTGAACGTTACATACTTCTTGACACCTCCCCCCCCCCCCCCCCCTATGTTACATTTGGTTACAATTTTTCAAACCCTCCCCCCGAAAATGCGAACGTAATAAGTGAACGGCCCCTAAACTAAATTTGCTAAAAGTTCAAAGTTTTATATATTGTTTGTTTTTTATTAAGTATTCAATGAAACTATATACAATCGATCGTATGCCAATTATAAGTTGCAAATAGACAAGTTTTCCTCAAATTATAATCTTTGCATCTTCCTCAGATTTTAAACGGATTTGCCAAAGATTGTGATCGAAGGCAAGTAATCAACTCTGATCTTCATACTGCTTCATACAAAGATTATAATCTCTTTTGTGCGAAAGATTATTTCAAGATTGAAATCTTCAATAATGTTCATACAAAAAAATTTGTAATCTTCATCCAAATCTTATGATCTTCTCTAGAAATATCAGAATTTATTGCTAAATGAAACATATAACAATCCTGTTTGAAATATTACTGCAAAGAATATGAAACAAAATAATTGACATGTTTTCAAATCATTATTTAATTCAAACGTAGAATAAATCAACAAAAACACAAATTCAGTTTTAACTTTTTTTTTAATTTTTATTTGAATAATAATTGTGTATTTATAATGTCACAAAAAGCCTAAATATATCATCAGTTTTCTGATTTTTCTTCATTTTTTCAATTTTTTTTAACTTTCAGGTTAATTTGAAGAATTTGCTACAATAGAAAATAAGAGCGACGTAAAGAGGTGAGGAGGAGAAATTAAAAGTAATAATAAAAGAAAATGTGAAAAATAATAAAAATTACGTTCAATTATCCTACAATATACAAAGACATGAATAGATATCCAATATCTTTCTCACAATCTGATAAAGTGAAGACCAACTTCACAAAAGTAGAATATCTTGACATTAAATCTAAAAATTAAAATATATAGAATCGTAGAGCATTTGAAATCCAGTATGAATGTTCCTTAAAACCCACGATTTATTAAAAGTCTAGTAGTGAATACCCAAAATAATATTATTAAACGATATATCACTTTAGTGAAGTTAGCTCCTTAGAAGTCACTCACTAATGTCATTAATGATCAACTCCTTAGTTCCTTCTGTATAGCTTTTCTCTCTTAAAAATGATAAATATTAATTATAGTTTTATTATTTTGGAATTTGGAGACGACAAAAAACAAGAAAAATTTTCACATGCATTCATTTCACGTTGTTGCTGTTCTTTGCTCATTAATTATTGTTTTTTTTTTACTGAAAAAAGATTTATTTTTAAATCATATTTTATCTGCCTAAATCGATGCTATCGATTTCTTTTTTTGCTTGCTTGCTGATTAAACTTTAATTTCAACATATAATTTTTTTTTTCGTTCATCATTCTCTTAATTATTTTAATTAGCATTGACAACCGTCATTTGATGGTCTTGGATTATTATCTGCATTAAGAGTTATGTTAGGAAAGCCTGATGTTGTATCCAAATCTTCAGTTTCTTGGGCCAGGGCATTCTTAGCGATCGTTTGGAAAGCAATATCTACATTAATACCTTCCTTTGCTGATGTCTCGAAATATGGAATATCATTTTTAGATTGGCACCATTGTTGGGCTCGTTTTGTTGATACCTAAAAGAGAAAATAGTGATTATTGTATTAAACTTTTAGTTCCTTGCTATAAATTAATTTATTTCAGGATCTTTAATCTGGGTTCGTTCACTTATTACGTAACGCACTAGGGGGGAAGGGGGTCTAAGATTTTGTTACGGTTTGTTACACGGGGAGGGGGGGGTCTAAATTTTGTTACGTAACTTTTCAAAAAATATATTTTTTTATAATTTTTTCTATATTAATTTTAAATTTTAAAGGAAGTATAATAAACATTTGATAAACAATTTAAATGAAAAAAATTATTGTTACGTTATTGGGGGGGGTCTAAGATTTTGTTACGCTTTGTTACAGGGGGGGGGGAGGGGGGGTCTAAAAACTCGTTTTTTTGCGTTACGTAATAAGTGAACGAGCCCTCTTCAAATCGAACATATTTAAAATAAGGACCCCTCTAGTGCTGATACTAATGCGATTTAATTAGACGTGCTTATACTTTATCAATGAACTACTTAATACGATGTATTGTGATATCTCATACGATCGTATATCGCGCTCACAAAGTCAATAAACTACTTCCGAGATGGAAATGTATGGAACTAATTGATGATAATTTTTAATTATTGCAATGTTTGTGATCTTTGTATACTACTTATTCCATATTATATGTTAGAAATTACGATTATTGGATCTTTTATCTTCTTTTTAAAACAAAATTTACAATCATCTTAAACTCAGTGGTTCTCAAACTTTTGGCTCAACTGAATTTAAGATAATAAACTACTGTGCTAATCATGGTATGTCATGAACTTGAAATTGTAATTTAATTAAATAAGTCTAGTCTAGTCAGTTTCTCTGTTTTATGAACATTCAATTAGGAAAGATTTTTTAAAATTTTGTTTTTGCATTGCATGCATTACAAGTGCTTCCATGAATATAAGTATTAAACGATGATTCTTTTTGACGTGAGTGATTTTCCGAAATTTTATGTGATAACTGATATTCATCAGTTTTTAATACGTAAGAACACAAATACTGATGTCAGTATGTATATTATGTGGGATACTTAATCGCCTCAAAATTCTTATCTGGACTTTCTCTTAAACTATCCATTCACACGCATAACACTATCTAATGTTATCATAGAGATAAATAAGAGAAATTTGAGACATGCAGAACATTTCGATAGTCAGATAACAAAGTGATACATACGAACATGTTAAATAAACAAATCTTTGTCAAAACAAAGTGAATCAGCATATTAAGCTGAATTAGTCGCATTAGTTCTTTGGACTTGGTACTTAAAAAGATGAAATACTTACGGATCGATTTTCCAAATCTATTTTGTTTCCCAATACTACAAATGGAAAGTGTTCAGGATTTCTAGGGCTGGCTTGAATTAAAAACTCATCACGCCAAGAATCAAGATTTTTGAATGTGTTTGGTGCTGTTGTATCAAAAACTAACACACAACAATCTGCTCCGCGATAAAATGCAACTCCAAGTGACTGAAATCTTTCTTGACCCGCAGTATCCCATATCTAGTCATAGAAAAGAAAAAGAGAGAAGTTAAATTGATTGTCAAGGTCTGTCTATGAGTCATACTCACTTGCATTGTTACGACACGATCATCGACAACTACTTCCTTTGTTAAGAAATCTGCTCCAATTGTTGCCTTGTACTGGTTTGAGAATCTTTTGTTGACATATTGATTCATTAAGGATGTCTTTCCAACACTTGAGTCTCCCAAAATGATGACTTTTAAAAGAACCTTCTTTCTTGTTGCCATTTTTACGTCTTCAATATATTATTTTCGGTCAATTGGATGTTGTAGAAATTATAACGATGAGAACTGTATGTGCAAAATAGAAAATAAGTGATTGTTAGACAAGTCTTTTATTCACATAACAGCAATAATCTTTTGTAATTAGATTTAACTGATGTGAACAGCTAGCTGTTCACAAACACATCCATAAAGTCGAAAAGATCAGAACAAAAACCTTAATCTGTGCCTTATCAATTATGTGATTTTATATGGAATAAATGAGTGACTAATTCTAATGGTATCTGATGATTTCCTTATTATTATATCCACCCTCATTACTATATCTATGATATTTTTTTGAGATATACTTGGAACTTAATATTACTGCGTCACAACAAAATGATTAAACAAAGGAAAATTAAGAAAATATTAATTTCACCACTTTATCACATTATTTATACCTGGCTTTCTTTATGATTAAGCTGAAGTGTAGTTGACTGTAGCTGTTGACAATATCAGATGATACAATACGATAGACTAATTATAATTAATTTAATATTTTTAAAACTCTCGAATTCTATTTTCCCAAACTTTCTGAACTTGCTGAACAGATGATGTGAAACTATGAAGTTTGCTGAATTTTCGGATTCAAATTTTTACCAGCCGTTGGGCTCTGATTTTTTTGGGAACGCTCGTAATCCTTCTTGTACCTTGGACCTTAAAATCAGTTTCTTCATCAATTGTCTTAGTTTCATCGCGATTAAATTAGATAATAGGCTATAATCCGTGTATTAACACTTTTATTACGTATGTGTTTGTGTCCATACCAATACATTCACACACAATCAGAAACTTCGCGGAACCCATTAGTTTTTCATTAATTATAGGATTATCTGCTAATCAGCATACATAATGTCATTAAAAACAGTGTTACCGAATCCTGTAAATAAAGTATATGATCGAGATGATGAGCAATCGACAATAAAAGGTGAGAATATTGCATGAATTGTTTTCGTCACAAAAAGTCATCAAAAAAAAATAATTAATTTCAGTCAATTTGGGTGCTCTACAGCATGCAAAGAATTCAGCACCTCCCTACGGATCAAGACGTGGATTTATACCAAGAAGTGAAACAGATTATGGCGATGGAGGAGCATTTCCAGAAATTCATGTCGCACAATATCCATTGGATATGGCAAGACCTAATTCTGGTGGAAAGAAATCAACTGCTTTAGCCTTACAAACAGATTCATCAGGAAAAGTCAAATATGATATAATTGCTAAACAAGGACATGCAAAAGATAAGATTGTTTATTCAAATATCAATCAATTACTTCCAGCAGAAGTTTTATCTGAAAATGCCGAAGAATTACAGCGTCCAAATGATGAAGAGATTGCTGATATTACAGAAACTACAAGAAAGGCATTAGAAAAGTTGACAAATGCAAAAATTGCTGCTGCTTTGCCTGTTCGAGCTGCAGAAAAACAAGGAGCAGCTCAATATATCCGATACAAGCCATCACAACAATCGATGCAGTTTAATTCTGGTGCTAAGGAACGAATCATTCGTATGGTTGAGGCTCAAGTTGATCCAATGGAACCACCAAAATTTAAAATCAATAAAAAGATTCCAAGAGCACCTCCGTCACCTCCAGCACCTGTTTTACATTCTCCAAGTCGAAAAGTATCAGTAAAGGAACAAAAAGAATGGAAAGTGCCACCATGTATAAGTAATTGGAAGAACGCAAAGGGTTATACAATTCCTTTGGATAAACGTTTAGCTGCTGATGGGAGAGGATTACAGCAAGTACATATTAATGAGAAATTCGCTAAAATGGCTGAAGCTTTATATATAGCAGACAGAAAGGCAAGAGAAGCTGTTGAAGCTCGTGCACAACTTGAAAAGAAATTGGCACAAAAGGAAAAAGAGAAAAAGGAAGAACAATTACGTGCTATGGCTCAGCGTGCTCGTGAAGAACGTGCTGGACTTAGTCGTTATGCACAAAATGAAGGCGAAACTACAACAGAAGTTCGTGAAAGAGATGAAATTCGTGAACAGAGACATAGAGAACGTGCCAGAGATCGTAATCTTCAAAGAGCAGCTCCAGATAAAAGAACAAAACATCAGAAAGAACGTGAGCGTGATATTAGTGAGCAAATTGCATTGGGAATGCCAGGAAAGACACAATTTAGTGGCGAAGGACAATTTGATTCACGTCTATTTAACACTACTAAAGGAATGGATTCTGGATATGGAGATGATGAAGCATATAATGTTTACGATAAGCCATGGCGTGAAAGTGGAAGTCTTGCATCTCATTTATATAGACCAAGCAAACAAGTTGATCAAGATATTTATGGCGGTGACTTAGACAAGATTGTAAACACCAGTCGATTTGTTCCAGATAAAGAATTCTCAGGAACTGATCGTAAAAATCCACGTTCTGGACCTGTACAATTTGAGAAAGAAGATGATATCTTCCAACTTGACAAGTTCTTGGATACAGCTAAAACTGGATCAAAACGAAAAGATGAAGCAAGTTCAAGCAAATCCTCAGAACATAGCGAAAAGAAAAGACGAAGAGATTAAAGTCAATTATGTCATGCTTTGTAACGTCTTTAATTAAATTTTTTTATTTTTTTCCTCAAACTATTTACTTTTTTGATTCCTTTATCTTAAGAGTTTTAAGATGCAAATAATGTAGGACAGAGAAATAATAAATACAAAAGAACTTTTCATTAACAAAATCATCAAACTGTGTTTAATTAAGTGTATTTTCAAGTTTGAGAAAATGCCTCTCAAACTGATGTTCCTTAAATGTTATGAACTAAACACAAACTACATAGAGCTTAATTACTCTTATCAGTTTGCTTTGAGAAGAGTCCTGCGGCATATTCATACTTCCATCGCATGTAGCAAACTTTCATTCTGTCCCAAACATTATCAAATGAATCCATTGCAGGCCTAACATCAAGAAGCGCAAATTTGTACTTTTCATCGACCATTCCTCCATCGTAATAGTCAATAACATAGCGAACATCCTTGCCACATCTATCAACAATCCAGTCATGACGATCAAAAGGTAATTCATAGCCCATCCAATTACGAATCTTTGCACGAGGTGAAAAATCCTTTGCTTTACCTCCAAAACTCTTTAATTTTGGATTCCCACATTCACGAGCGTGAAGTGCTTCCCATTTTAAGACTTCCTGCCAGGCCTGTTCATTATTAGCATTGTGGATTTTGATTATATCGTCCATATCTTTTGCAGATAAATCTTCTTTCTGCCATACCCAACCTTTACGAAGCATAGCATTCCAGAACATTTGTTGACTAGGATATTCCCAGTGTGTCTTGCCTTCTGGACCTTAATTTAATGAATGCACTTTGTTAGCTTTCTCGTATCTTAAATTAAACTTAATTTACTTACTTGGAACAGCTCGAGGAATCGAAGAAGTTACTCTTGCTGTAGGCAATGGGAAAGGCTGGCCTGGTGATGGTTTTTGATTTGCAGCTGGCATCATATTTAATGGATTAACATCAGCAGCTCCTTGAATCGGACATTCTGAAACTATAACTTTTTCTTCTTTTGGTGCTTGATGTTTTTGATGCATTGGACATTCTGGTGGGATTTCTTGTGCCTGTATATTGTTGATTTTTGGATGATTTTTTGGTATTTCTGTCTGATCTAGTGACTTTATTACAGATTCAGCTGTTACACTTATTGATACTGTTTGACCCATATTTTTTTAATTCTGTAAAAATGTGATGTGATTAGGTAATTGTTGTAAACTCAACTAATTATTAAAGAATCTTTTAACTGATGACGCTTTTTATAAAAACTACCTGCTTTAGAAGTGCCTAAAAAGTGATTTGACTGGCAAAGCAGCCTTATTATGCTTTAAATCGATGAAAAGTTAAATATAGATTGATTCTGAAGAAAAATTATTTTACGTAGCAAAAATACGTACGTAATATAAAAGTACGTAAAAAGACGTAGCTTATTTACATAAAAATAAATTCAGATTTTGTTAAAAATGAGTTTTTCAGGCTTAATTAAAGTGAGTTTTCTATATATTTATTCCTTGTATAATTAATAAACTTAGTCTTTATTGAATTACAGCAAAATGCACTTATATCAAGTCAATTATCTCGTGGAATTCAAACTTCTGCTATTTTAGCGAGTGTCCAGTCTGGAAGATACAAAATTACACCAAAAAGGTTAATTACAGTGACTTAATCTCTGATTCCTAGTTTATTAAATTGATTATTTGTGTATTTAGAGATCGACCATTGACGTACGAAATGGCAAATCCACCTCATTATATTGCTCATAGAAAAGGTTGGAACTCTTGGAATACATCCAATCTGTAAGTTTATAGCTGTGGATTTAATTGTAGGCATACTTATAAATTGATTTATTTTATAAAATTGCAGACGAGGAGAATTAAGAACAGCACAGTGTATAACTGAGGATGCATTTATCAGGAAGTTCATGACTGGAACATGGCATTCGTTGGTACTATCTGAAGTCATTATCAAGCGTCAGTTCAATCACATTCGTATTGCAGCCCTCATAAAGCAAGGAATAAGTTCAAGAAAGATGTACTTTTTAATAGGATACACAGAAGAGCTCCTTTCATATTGGCTGCAATGTCCGGTAACTTTAGAATTACAGACCATAACTGATCCGAAAGATGTCATCTTTAAGTACATTTAAACTAGTAACAAGATTTAGACATTACAAATACACAAACATTTTAATTAGAAGCAGAATAAGATTTTTTATTCATTAATTTCTTAATTGCAAGCTTCATCGTCATAAAGTCAAAAGTTTCGTAAAAATCAATTGATTAGGCTCTTAAATAGAATACTAGAAATTTCGTCCCAAGATTAGTTTTGTATCCTCGTGATAAATCTCTGTGAATCCAAGTCTACCGTAAACTTCTGCAAGATATTTATCGGATTTATTTAAAATTACATGACATCCACTACTTCCCGATGTTCTCAATGATGATAATAAAACACACATAAGTCTTTTGCTTATCGACGAGTCTAAATGCGACTGTTCCTTTAAAATCGAACAATGAACAATGGATGGATACTGAATTAGAATATTAGGTGCACATTCATATTTAAAGTTATGGAACCAATTAATTGCGTCCTTTGCTGCTGGTGTTATGTCTGGAGAATCCAGCATTGTTAATGGATATTTTTCACGTGCTATTGGAAGCCACAATGTCTGAAAAGTATGAATATTAAAATTAGTATTGAGGATGTCATAACAAAGTTAAATGCTTACCTCTTGACTACGATAGAAATGCTTAGCATTTGGTGCTGCAAAGCCATATCCAACAATATCTTTCTTCATGTTTTCAACGACCATACAAAATTCAGGATTGAGTGTAATAAATGGAGCAACAAGTCGATCAGATGCAATCTGTTGTAAATTTGATGGAAACAAGTCAGTGCAGTCTGATCCATCGCGACATGTTTTATGACAAATTTTATAAATATCGGATTCATCCAAATTATTATATGGTCGAACAGAGAAGAAATTTAATGTTGGAGTTTCGGGTAATCGGTAGATAAATAAGTCATTTCCAGAATCGATTGGAACCAATCGTTGAATATCAACAACTAATCCACCACGAAAGATCCAGGGTTCTTGATCACCTGACATAAAAGTTTCTTTCCATCCTTTACTGAACCACGTGAATGATCCTTGAATGTAGGAATTTGAATTTGACGGAAAATGACCAAGAGCAAGCCATTGAACATACGAGTCACAAATTGATACGACATTAGCCATCTCCCAGCAGTATGTATATAAATCATAACATAATTCACGATTAACACATAGAGCAATTTTCTTCATTAATGTTAGAACCATTTCGCATAGTTTAAAAAATTCTTTGCTGCGTTCAAACCATTCTTGGACTTCTGTGTTCTCCGGATTTGATCCATTTTTGCTACCACTCAATACGTATGCATTTGTCTTTAGCCATTGAAACTCATTAAGAATCATTAGGCCTTGCTTACCTGAAATAGAATATTTAAATTATCAGAAAAAGAAGAAGATTGGAAATAGCATTTAAAAGTTTGCTTATAATAAAGTATGAAAATCAGCACTAACCATGTTCGAACGGCAAATAGAATAAATCACATAGGAGCAATATATCATCGTAATTTATAGGATCGCATTTATCTTCTTCGGATAATGAATCCTCTTGCATTGTTTCTTGCTCGTTGACTGATTCAGTCATAACGACGTCGTCTGACAATTGTGATTTTTCAGCAGTATTGCCATTGACATTTTGTGGCACTTCCGTTTCATCTTTGTGATGTGGTTCTGAATTAATACTGGAACTGTCTGATAATGTATGTTTTGGTGTGCCACAATCCATTGCTTCCTCGGTTCCCGTTTCAGACGGTTCAGTTGAAGCCTTTTCTACTTCCATTACATCCACAGTAACATTAATTGGACTTTTGTCTCGAATTTCAAGATTAGTCTCGCTGATTATCGATGATGAAATTGGAGCAGAAATTGAGGCTGTTGTGACTACTTTTGTTTCCGAGACAAGAGAATTCATTACGCTGACTTTTGCTAATGCCTCCGTTTGGACATTGGAACAAATATCAGCAAGAGCATGAAGCTGTGCTGTGTTAACTTCTGGCATTGGTGCAATATTAGTGGCACTAGTTGTAGTCAATGTCAGTGTCATGCATGTGTTAATTTTTGGAATTATGGGTGGAATAATTGGAGCCAACGCACTTCCAGGCTGTGGTTTTAACATTGGACCGAATGCCTTTTTTGCTTCGAAGAAATCTGGAAGCCAATCACGAATGGCATTCTTAAGAGCAACTCTTGGATGATACATATTTTCTGAGAGATAATTTGGAGGGCTATCATCGCAATCTTCATTCTCTGTTTCTAATTTTATGTCTGATATGGAATCCGCTGTGAAATTTAAAGAATTAAGATAGCGACAAATTTGATTGATAAGGGTTTTTTAAGGACTTACTGTTAACTTGAGAATTACATCTACTCCACTGAGCTAGAGTATGAATCGCCACAGTGTTTGCATGGAACTCACAATTTGGATTAGTGACGACTCCCCGTAATAATGGAATCAACTCGCAATTTCGTCCTGAAAGTAAGAGAATCAGCAACAATCACTGATAAATCAAATTATGATTCCTTACCTGAATAAGGTCCAAGGAAGACTCTCTTCTGATCATAGTCATTAGCATGAATGTTATCCCAAATGACAGGTTTGCGTTTTAAAACTTCCGTAATCTCTTCAATGTCTTTAACTGTGATAACTTTACTAATTACTTTTGATCCTGTCCATAAGACATCGATTGTTGGCAGCAATTTCTGTCCGATTGTGTTAAGATACTCCGATTCCGTAACAGTTGGAATCGCACGTGACGAACAATATTGTGTTGGACAAAATAGAAAATTTAAACAATTGATTTTCGTCGCAAGATGATTGTAGATATCGTTAGAGATTGACACTTGAGCATGTGCGAAACTCTGAAACATTTCTTTGTCTGGCTTTGTCATTTCCGAGTCTATGTCGTCGAATAGAAGTGCGAATTTTTCTGAAATAAAGGAATTAAATTGTGAACTAGCTTAGTAAAGTTAAGTTAAGACTTACGACATCCAAACTGTGATACTTGATCTAGTTTACGCTTCAGGCTGGAAGTATCCTTTAGTGACGAGTAAGTGATATCCAATCCAGGTGAAAGTGCATAGTAAAAGTCGATTCCTGATGATTTCGCTGCATTTATCAGCCCCTGTAAATGCTCACCTTCTTCCACCGTGTAAAGTTCTCGCCACCTAATATTGAACATTTGTAAGTTAATTAAATTAATAAGCATAAAATATCTTACATTGCTCGATGCTTGCAGTCATCCTTTGGTGCATAAACGAACAACTGCAGCCCAAATCGTTTTAATTTCTTAAATAATTCTTTTCGCTGTTCAGATGTAAATGGCCTGCCATAGAATCCTTCCACTACACCCAATAAAAATTTGTTCGAATCATCATCATTTTCACTATGTTTTTGTGGTGATTTAGACATTGGTGATGGACTTAGAGTTGTATAAAAATGATTTTTCCTTAAATTTGTTTATCTTTTAAAATTAATTTGTCGAAATTTTTTTTCTTAATGTCCAGAAAATGTGACATACAGATGTCACGCGTGCTGCTAAAATATCAAAATATGAGAAAAGTTTCAGAAAAAAATGAAATTTTTCAATGAAATCTTTAATGTCACTGGATTTTGTGGATATGGATAGACAACTTTTGTGTTTTAGATGAAATTTTACAAAGTATCGGCGTGTTACAAAGATTCTAAAGTGGAAAACTTTCAGGACATATGTCGACGTGACTGAATCAACAAGAATATAAACATTATGCTGAATTAGAGTTGTTTGGTTTTGAAACTTAGTCGCACCGTAGCTAGATGTTGATTCAAATATAATTGAGATGGAATTTTTGATTCTAGGATGCTATCTGTGAAGTATAACAATAAGTTGTAGATGGAGACCATTGAATTGGCTGACATCTAGTAAAATTACTCAAGTTCGAGGAAGATATCACATAAAATTCAAATAAGATCCTTTTAAGATGCAGAAACATCTCCAATACATGTAAACAATAAGAATCCTTAGAAAAGATTTTTAAGCTATAGCTTAGAAACACGGTTCGAACAAAAAAGAAGCAATGACCTTAAAAAATAGCCGTTAGAAAAGAGGACGAATTAGAAACATTTTCAAAAATAAAATTTATCCAACGGAAGCAAACGATGTCAAAGATTTATTAAAAGAAATTCATCCTGTTTATGTTAAATTAGCTGCTCATAAAAATTTCCACCAGCTATCCAGCATTACTTCCTGTATTGCAAGTATTTCTATTTATATAGAGAATCTACAACAACAAAATGAGTAGGAATTAAAACAGTTGTTGTGTCCAATACATTGATACATTCTGATTTCCTGTAATTTATGCAAGTATGAACTTTAATCATAAAATTGTTTATAATTCCAAAATTGACATCATAAATCACATGAATAGCTGTATTCTACATAATTTTATCTTGGTTCTAGCGATGCTTATTGATTTATTGATAAAATTTTTATGTTATAAAAAAATATTCATCAGGTATTGTAAATGTTCGAATCAGATGTTTGCCTATATTAGTCAGACAGACCAGATGTACACTGTGTATGTACGTTTTGTGTACGTGCAGCTACTATGGCGGCATAAAAAGATGCGAAACTTTTAATTCTCAAAATTCTCACTTGATTCTTGTGAGTTTCTCAATTAATCAACTGTAATTAATTTTTAATTCCGAATGTTAATCGATTGGCTTAAATAATATATGTCGAAAGTGTTTTTTTAAAGGAAATTTTAATGTTGATATTTTAATATACAAGTGATGCAAAACATACGACTCTGTGTTTGAGTCGCCATATCGGTTGTTTATTAAATTCAAAGCTGAGTCAGAGAACTGACAAAAAGGTTTTTATTAAAATTTTTTTTAAAACATAAAATAAATATAATTTAAACTGATAATAGTGAAAAATTGTGAATTAATATAGCAAAGGATCAATTGAGCTAGAAGTCATTTATCGTGAGTGTCATTTTGATTGATAAAACATTTAACAAATTTTTAAGCGTCTGTTGAACAAAGCCAAGGTAGAAGTTTTTTTCTGTATTGTAAAGTTTTTCTTGTTTAATGGATGAAATGAAGGATAAAGAATTGCACGTCGTCAAAAATTTATATAATTATGATGAATACTTTAAATTTCTCAATTTCCGTGATGGTTTCTTCTTAAATTTGATGATTAATCCAAAACTTTTTTTCCCACAAAAAAAAGAACATCCAAAAACGTAATAGAAAATTTCCTTTGAAAAATAAAAGTTTTTTTGATGACGACTCGCAATTGTTCCTGTTAATTTCTTAAAATCATGTAAAAGTATTATAAATTTTATTAAAAAAGTAAGAATGTATAACAAAAGGAAAGTTACTCTGCACCTCTTATAGACGTCTCAAGGACTTTTCATTTATTTCACGTCAAATAACGCGCGTGTGTGTGTTTGTTTTACTGTTTAAATCGCATTGCTTGCATAGTTGCAACTGCAAAATTCACATAATTTGATTATGATACAATAATGTTGCTTCAGAATATTTATTCAAACTAAAAGATTGATCGATCAACTTTGTATTGCATATCAGTTGCAGCTTAAATTCAACATATGGCCGACTCGAAAAGAAAGTGCTCATAATTTATTATATATTTTATTTTTTGTTGTTTTTTTTTCTTAAATTTTTCGTTCAATTTTTTATTTTACTTTTTCAACACACGCTTAGCCATCAGAATTAAATGTAGTATAAGTGTGTTGTTTCTTATTTTTCCGCTTATTGCCTCGATTACATTGAAACAATATAATGTATGAAAACAAAAATTATATAGAAAGTATCGAAGGTGGATGATTAAAGCGCAATTCCTTTTTCTTGTCAAACGACAGGTGAAGATGCTCACCATTGTACTACCGAGGATTTTTCTTTTTTTTTTGATTTTTTACCGGATGTTTTAAATTTGAACTTCTTAAGACACAATTTAGCTAAGACGCAAACCATTTTCAAATATTTCATTTCCGTTAAATTTTAAAAATATAAAAACTGAATGCACTAGCGCATTAATTCTGGAAAAATAATACAATGAGGAAAAGAAAAAGAAGAAAACACGAGGCAAAATAATGTTTTTAAATAAAAAAAAAAAAAATAAATGAAATATGAATATGTAATGTGTGGAGATATTGCAAAAAAAAATACAAACTCAGAAATTTTCTCTCTTTTCTGCATATGTATGAAAATAAAGGCCCGTAAAATCATATGTGCAACTTTATTTTCATTTTTGTCGCGGTATTTTGTTTTGTGCCTGCACATAACGTTTCACTACTCCGATATTTTTCATTTATTTATTTTGTTTATTCTTTTAAAATAAAAAAGTCTTCTTCTTGTTGTGGATATCAAAACAATATTACCTTCTACAATGTTTAAAGTGTTCCGTTTATCGAAGCCTGACATACAGTAGTGGTATGATTTTTAGGGGCTTACTGATCATCATCGTTAGGGGACTCGGTAAATAATCAATTTATTTAAAAAGGGGGATGTCGATGAACTACCTTTCAGTTTGTGTACACAATATATTAATTCAATTTATTGGCTGAAAATTAAAAAGATGGAAAATGTTTTAAAATCTTAACGGTTTTAATCCTTAGAGAACATCATACTTATTACTCAAGAAGATATAATACATAACGGGTTCTGAAATTGAATCATAACAATTTTATTCAATTTAATAAGAGAATCAACAGAGAATTATTCAACACAATCCCACGTAACCAAAATCGCCGTCAATGAAAAAATCGACTTAAATGTACAATTTTTTGGATGATCCAATAGACGTCGATTTTTCATCCATTACATTCGTTTTTCTTGAGCCGCTATATACTTCACAAGTGCAATCAGAAATCACTTATATAAGGCACAGCCAAATTTTCATACAAAGTGTGATTAATTAATTAAATTAATTACATGCGAATCATTCATTTAAATGAAGACTTCGACTCTTTTTTTCAAAGACAAAATCCGTAATTAATTTTTTCTGGATTTTGTCTACAAATTGTAGTATAATTAACAAAAAATATTTTCATACAAAAAAATTCAAAATTTTTCCGTTAATCGGTTTTTACATTGTAACGGTCAAAAAAAATTTGATTTTCGTTCAAAAAAATAATCGACGTGAAATCGACATAAAATCGACTAAAAATCGTCCCTTTTCATATTAGCATAATGTCCAATGTACGATACATGGAATGTACATATGGAACATACATGGAAGATTTTGATGTAATACGTAAAATCTTCCATTCGTCGACTTATGGTTACGTGGGATGTTTATTAAAATGCACATAATATTTTATATAATAATATTTATGAGCTGTTTCTGTTATTGTTTAAACCTACGTTGTAATCTTGTGCTAAATATACTAGCTAGAAAATTGCTCAATCGGTTTTGATACCCATTTTATAAAAGAAAAACTGTCGTAATGTATCTTTCAATCGATATTATTGCGAAAAGAGTAAACAAATTTATCGTTCTGTGCTTTAATTTCCCCTCATCAATCTTTGATTTCTTATCAGTTTTGATATAATTCAATTAATTGAACATCAATATATTGATAACATACCTGAGGCATGCATGGCAACTGATTTGTTGTCAGAATGTAATCAACTTATACAGACAAAACAAAATAAAGATTTTTTTAGATTTTTGTTTGTTATTTTGTCTGAAAATGAGGTTATGATATGAATGTGACAAAAATAATACACTCGTAGCTTAATTACGGTTAAAATGCGATGCAAAATTGTTTGCTCACGTGTAAACAACAGTTTAAAAACATTTAAAACGCAAGTAAGTTGCAAATTCTGTCAGAATTTGATGAAAAAATCGTCAAGTGAAGAAATTTGCGCCAAATTATTTTTAAAAATAAAATACAAAATTCATTGTCTTCATCCCAAAAAAGGTCAAGCTTTATCATCAATCTATAATTTCCGGCTTTAATTGACACTTATGAAATCTGATTTTCAAATGATTCATATTTCGATAAAAAAATATCCAAAGTGTGTAAAGATTCCATTGGGATTCCATCAACATGAGTCATTGTGAAAATTTTTGTACGTCTGGCAACCGCTTCATCAAGAATTAATTTAAACATCCACTTAAGCAAATCGTTCTTCGTTCACTAAACAAACATGATTAAGACATTTTAAAAATGAGTCCAGTAAATCATCATTGCCTTCTTGCTCCTCAATTTACATTCTATATGAATAAAATATTATTGTTTACTGACTTAACATTGCGCTGTCCATGATGACGACGTGATCCTCATCAAAACTTGACATTGATTATAATATAAAAGCAATAGCGAGACGACAGCAACCTGATGATATATTTCTAAAAGAGATATAAATAGCAAAGAATCATGCCAAGGAGACAGTAGATGCGAGTCTTTTAAAAATACTTCTTACTGTTTTAAATCTCACACTACACTACACATGTTCTCGAGTTCAACAAGAAATAAATCTCGAAGGTATATAACTCGACACATTCTGATTCTGCCATAACCTTCCCCAATACATCTATTTTTTCATATTCCTTTCTTCTTATTCTTTACATTTGTCTAATTCCTGAAATGCGATTCATAATGATGATTTCTGCCAAAGGAATTAAAGGTTCAAGCATTCAGGTAGGCAAATGATATGTGCGTTGCCATTTTCTCTGCTCTTCTTCCTTTTTAAAAATACGAAAAGAAAAAAATCTGCACAAAATGTCACTGGAATAAAATGAGACCCAAACACATTTAAATTGTGCATGTATACGGCAGTTGTGACTTGAAAATAAAACTCGATATGCATTCCAGAATGCAGTTTATATTGTGGATGTAATGGACATTTAAAAATAAACTAGCATAAGACGTCGTGAAGAATGTGCAGTTGTGCATTAAAGATATCGTGATGCATGTGTAATTAGATTCTATCTTGATGCTTATAAATCCAGATTTATAAATTTTAGCATTTCTAATTAGCGGAACTCTCTCATAAAGTTCTAGAATTTCCATCTCATGAACTCATAAAGAGTAACAATAACCTCAGGCTAAAAGTAATGATCTAATTAACGGATCATTTTTTTGCGAACCCTATTTAGACAATGTTGTAATTAAGGAATGTGTGAAATTTCGGTTGTGGTTGTATGATGTGGGATGTCAGATGAAGAAAATGAGATTTGGGTTGGCTTAACGTGACATATTTTATAGTAAGAAGAAACTTGTATGTTTACAATGTAGTAGAATAATAAGCAAAGTTTAATGAATCATGCTTGCGAATTTTAAAATTTCACTGCTCAACAGTCATAATTTTTTCAAATTTTTGAACTTTCTTTTTTTCTTGGATCAGACAAGAGATGCGAAAATAAATTTAATATTTTCGCAATAAAACAATCATTAAATGTGTTACTCTGTACTTTTTTCGTTATTTTAGTCATTATCAATGTTATATATTTTGTCACTGTCAGCAAACTCGCAGTTTGAAGAGTTAATTTAAGAAAATAAAATTTTAATTATGTCATCATAATTGACATCGAATAGAGTGAAAAATAAACAGTACCAAAATATTGTAAAATTAAAGTTTCTAAGCATTGATAGCTAAAAATACCGTAAATAACATCACCGTTCTGCGAATAATAAGTGAGTACTATCATTTTCCACAAGAATTATTGTTTAAAAAGCTATAAAACTTGATAACAAAAATTATGTGCTTTTCACTTTGATATAATTTCGTGGGAAAAATAAATTCTCAGGAAGTGAATACAATTAACTATTCTTTGTAATAATAATGTCTAATGATTGATCTTTGAAACGTGTGTACAAATCATTAGATTGCATCTAATACGTCAGCGACTTTATCAAAAAACTTGAACGTTTTTGTTTTGTTAATATTACACAAAAATCGTATATAAACAAACAGTTTACAAAAATAGGAATTAGCTACTGATAAGAGTCAACAAGAGCTTCGCCACAAAGAAGAGAATTCCCCAAACAAATGTTGATAACTATATAAAACAGACACTTTAAAAATAATAATTTTTTTCACAACATCAATATGCGTTTACCGGCTTTATCAGTCACTTTTGTATACTGTGCATGATAAGGTAAACATTTTTAGAAAAAGAAACGTCCTTTAAACTTGTCATTGACCTTGACTACTTTATATTTACAAACTAAGACTGAGTAAAAAGAATGCACAATTTCATGTGTTTATACAGCAGATATTCCACAAATGTTTGCCTTCTTCTTGATCACTCTTTCGTGGGTATAGAACAAACTTTCATATGAATGCATTCACACAAAAAAAAATCCCATCCATTCATACATTCGAAACCAAGTGCAAAGAAAACAAAAACATAAAGTCAAAGCGATAAAAAATGAGCGAGACGAAGACATTTAAAAGGCGAACAAGAACTTTGTGGGTGATTTAATAAATGTCCTGAATAATCAGTGAATTTCAAAGTCAAAGTAATGAATTAATTGAGGGTAGATCAGTTATCTTATGCTCAATTTGAGTTCATGTATAATTACCGTAGAGTTTCTCATAGTCGAGTGACTAAAATAATTGTCTAGCATGAAATTGAGCATGTCAAGCAACTTTGTCCATCTGTCGAGTAAAACTGGCGTTTAAGAAGAATTCTTTGTTATCCTTTTCATCAATATTTGTGCAGTGCAAGCAGTAAAATGTTGATTCAATCCGACCATCACAAAGAGAGTTTAATATCGTTCTTAACTAAACACAGAAATAAAAGGAAGAAGAAGAAATGGATTGGATGAAAAAATAAGAGAAGAAATTGCGACGTAAAAAAATATTTTTCCCATCCATCCATAGCCACAGCTTGTGAATGCCGGTAAAGAATCAAAAAAAAAATCCAAATTATAACAAGAATTCGTTAACACAACCTTGATAGAGTTCGTTGATGTTCTGTTTTCTTTTCCTTTTTTTCCATCATCACTAACTCTATATATAAATAATATACGTACATATGTGCAATATAATTGTGGTGTGAAAGCAAAGAGCTATGAGGCAAAGAGGCAGCACAACAACAAAAACAATAAACAGCCACGCTTCTTTGAGTATTCGTGAAGAAGAAAAGAAGAAATACAAAAAAGATGAGTCGCTAGCTAGACGATCAAAAGAGTAAAGAGAAAAAAATATATACAAGCGCGTCGGGGAAGCGAACAAGAAGAGGCAATGAAAATACAAGTACAATGACCTCAATAATTTACTATGTAGTAGTTCCTCTCTTCTCGTTTATGTGCGTATCGACTGCTCTACGTTTTACGTTTCACACGCCAAGATTTCATTGTTTTCGGACAGCATTGCAGTGCAAAACTACATTGTCGTATGCTTATTTGTGTGTACCAGAGAAGCGGTAAAACATGATTGAAGCTGAATAAAAGTCAAAATGAGAGCATTACATTTGTGTAATTGCGGAATTTTTACTTTTATATTGAAAGCAAAGAGGTATTGAGGTGAATGTTTAGTACATGGTAATACAAATGGCATTGAGCTGGCTCTCCCTACTGTAATAATTCACATAATATGCTTCTATTGCTGCTGCTGCTGCACTATAGGTACATAATAGTATGTAGCATTCATGAATATCACGTATACATGCTTCTCATCTAAGTCATTAAAGGAAATAATTTAAATAATTGTCTCTACGGGAAGTAGATCAATACTCTGTATTGGAGGCTTTCTGTCTCATTTGTCTTTGAGTCTGACTGACTGCTGATCTTCATTGTGTAGATAATTTTTTTTTATTTCATTTCATTTCGTTTTTATTTTTTGCAATTGGTGCCTTTCACTTTCTCTTTTTTTTTTTATTTATTTCTTTCATCGTGAATCGACAATACCAAGGATCATGTAGACTCTACTTACGTACTCAATAACTATATAAAAATTTATTTTTATGAAAGAAGAAAATTGCATAAGTACCATAAGTTGCCATTCTTGTAGTCAAGTCGAAAATGCTATATATGAGGTTGCTGAATGAGAGGAAAGAGTTGAACGTTTTTGCGCCAAAATGTACGAAAAATTAAAGGAAAGAAAAGAAGAAAAGCGAGTGATTGAGTCATCTGTAAAATTATTTTGTGTGTCTGGAACGTATTTTTGTGCTTGTCATTCAGCTAATTTTATGAAATTAAAAAAAGAAAGGAACTAGATTTGATTTTTAGCGATTTTTGACTAAATGAATATTTGAGTGTTTGTTCCAATCGAGAAACCTTAATCCCTGCCTTAATCCAATCGTCAAGTTCATTCATAAATTTTTCCCTCCAAATTTCATCTGAATGAAGCCAAAACACTGTATAGCAACAGACACAAATGTCTCATAAAACTATTAAAAACATTCTCAATAAAAATTCTGCCTTAAAGATTATATTGACAGGTGTCTAACCTTCTAACTTATAAATACATCCCAAGCCATCCCATATTAAGCATAAAAATAAAAACAATCGAGTCAAAATGAACACCAAGCGATTCTTTCCTATTCCAAAAATAGCGCTAAAGCTTCCATTGAGCCATTGAGTATCGTAATAATATTGTAACAGTTGCTCTACGAAGAGTGAAAAGTTCAGACATACATTTTCGTAGCTGCTGTCAATTTTTGTTTTAAATTTTTTTCGTTCATTTCAACTTCTTTTCTTCATCCAATTTCAATAGCGAGCAATTAGTCTGCTATATAGAAGATATTTTAAGTTGAGCAATAATGATACGTGAAAGTGCTGCTTATAATCATATTAATGTGAGTTGTCAAATCTTATATCACGAAAAATTTGACCATTTAAGACTAAAAAATTTGTTTAAAAAATGTGAGTTTAAAAAGAAGAAGGAACAAAGACCTTTAAGTATATATATATAATTTTTTCGGTCGGTATCATTGAACTTGTCTGCAGTTTTATGAATTATAGCACCTGCGCAGTATATCCAATGAAAAATCATGCGACATTCTCGATAGAATGAAATTAATACTGTTGAATTTAAGGATGAAAGGAATTGGAAAACTGTAAATTGCATTAGTGAAGAGTGTTTGGCATTGGATAGAGTTTAATTAGAAGAGAAGAAAAAATTACGTAGGCAAATAAATTTAAAATATTTGCGGCCAATTGGATGTTTCAATGCTTAACAATGTCTTGTTTACAATAATTTCCAATGTTTTCTTGCCTTCGTGTTAGTGAACTTTATTTTGTTGCTATTGACGTAAAGCATTCCTTCAACTTTTTTCGTACGTAGACACAACACAGACAACAAAGCAATTTAAATTTTTTATCGCGAAAGAAACATTGTACAAGCTATAGCTTGTGTATATATGGTAAAAAAGAGATTTCACCAGTTTGTTGATCAGTCAGTGAATTGACTTCGTGAAAGAATTAATTTCATTTACTTTTATTAATGCACGTTATAAATACATTATTAATAAGTGAAATCATAAATTATTTACTTCAAATGGACATAATGACAATATTCCTGTGTATAGTTATTGAAGCAATAATGTATTTTTGGTTAATCTTTTGGGCAATACACTTGTTTGAGGTAAATGACACCCGAATGAATGAAGAACAAGAACTTTACGTATACTTTATTTTCCCGTGACGTCACGCGAAGTCTTTAGTGTAGAATATTTCTGCAGAGTATTTTTTTATTCTTGTCAGCATAATTAATGCCTATTGTGCTAATCAGTTATTCCTTATAACTTGTGGTTTTCGTGATAATTTTGTGACAAAATCGATACTTGGTATATAGTTCTTAATTTGACACGATCAGCAGCAAAATGAGTTTTTGATTATTGAATATTAAAAGAATCAACATCGTATACGTTGCATGACCTAAAAACTAATAATTTTTTCTCTCTTTTTCTTTCATTTCATGAACGCCAACAACAACAATAACGAAATAAATTCTTTTAGGCAACCTATATATTCAACAATTATCAACGTAGTCGAAGTACATCAACGTATTCAACAACAGGATTGTTTAGAACATTAGCTCGATTGCCATACAATCGATTACAGGAAGATCATTTATACTTGCTAAGTAATCTTAGACTTGAATGATTAGACTTTTATACTCGTGAGAAGTGACGTGATAAGAAAATTTCCAGTGAACATTAGTGTGAATACAAAAGAATATTAAATAGACATAAAGTTGGTGAGAAATTCATGAAGGAAATTTTTCAATAAGTAAGAAGAAAGTGAAGTAAAAGAAATTTGTTTGAAAGTGAAAAGAAATATTTTAAAGACACAAAATTAATAGTTTAGCAATCAAACGAAATGTTTTCGTTTCATAAACCGAAAGTTTATCGCAGTACTGCAGGATGCTGTATATGCAAAGCCAAATCTTCAAGGTAATTAATGCATATTTTATTGATAAACGACTCTTTGACATATTTGGAACTGAATGACATATTAAACTTGTTACGACGATGGTGATCTGGCAAATGAAGCAAGCAGTGAATGTTGCTTTATGTTCTTGAAACTGTTTTTAGTCAGAAACGATTGAGAAACTTTTTATTTCTTAAGTGCCTGTTCTGTTATAAAATTTTAGTTCTTTAACTTGCAAAGCATGAAATATTCAGGAAACATAAAGCAACACGTCCTAGTTTTGTATATATTCATGTATTCCTGACCTTTCACAACTCAATTTAGATGAAAACACTTGAAAAAGTTATGGAAGGGATGTGTATTTACGTTTGACTGACTTTATCCAACATACAAAATTTGTCATTCACTCCATTTCATAATGTTACTAAAATTTCACAATAAAATGTAATAAAAACTCATTTGAACTTTCTTAATATCCATTACAGCTCCAGATTCACAGACTCGAAGAAATATGAAACAGATTTCATACAGTGCTTCCAACTTGAAAATCCAAGACGTGGTGAAATATGCAATGCATGCGTTTTATTGGTCAAAAGATTTAAAAGATTGCCGCCAGGAAGTAACAGACATTGGGGACATGTTGTTGATGCACGCACAGGACCTGGATTGAAGTCAATGACAAAATTCAAGAAGCGAAAAGAGGAACAAGAAGTAAAAGAAGAAAAAGATCGATTTAATAAAATATTCAAGAAATCAAAGAAAAAGTTTAAGAAGGAAACAAGCTCATTGGGTGGATCTTCTGATGATTCACCACCATCTCCAACGGAATCACAGCACAGTGACGATTATGATGATGGATTATTTCAAAAGAAATTCTTCAGCTATACGACACGTGCACAACAGCAAGTTTTAAAGCGAAAAGAAGCTGAATTGAAAGCTGCAAAAAGGAAACGAAAAAATCCAAATCCATCAAAAAATGCACATTGGCCAGCCAATTATTTTAATCTGTTCTCGGACGTGATTAGTGATGAGGTGTGGTGTCAAAAAAGTACTTGCTGTGGAGCTATTTATGAATGTAAAGATCTAGAATCTGTCATTATTAATGTTGCATCGTTCAAGCCCTGCTTACAACATCAAGGCAAAATTTTGCATACAACGAAAGTTCAGCCTCCACAAATTCAAGTTCCACAACATACTACTGCAATCAAGAAGCATCAATTATTCCTCAAACGTCACAGTGAGCCATCATCTGTAGCAAAGTCGTCGTTAAGTGATATAAGTAGTAATAGTATCGTAACTGAATTTAGCAATAATAATGACAAGACTGAGCCGATGGATTCGACAGATGAGAGAAAAGAGAAAGACAATATCATCCCGCAAATGATCGATATCAAATTTAAGACAATTCACAATGATGAGAAGAAGAATGGTAATAACTCGTTTTTGTTGAGTAGGTGGCAATTCTTCAATTGTTAAGTAGGTCATGACTCATTCATTCGTTGGTTGACTGAAAAGATTGAAGGATTTTCATCTAAATTTTGATGTATATTAAATTTTAATTTATTTTAATTCTCATTTCAAATCTGCAGGCTTAGATAAGATTGAGAATGCATACGATCAAAAAGAGTTAAAAGAGAAGCTCCGTAAGGAAGTAATTCATCAGGAAACAGTAAAATCGCTGAAATCATCATCACAAGTCAGTAATCATCCACTTTCAAGTGTTAATGGCGATAAGATGTCAATATTTAAGTATAAATTAGCTAATATTGCACGTTTTGGGGGTATTGGTAATGATAATTCATCAGATTCAGGCTATGAAGAAGTTGTACAAGATGGTGGAAATAAATTGATATCAATGCCTCCGCCAGCTGATGTCATGCAATCACTTTGAGTTTCATAAGCTTTCTTATTATTATTAAAATAACTCAAATTATAAATAATTTTTCTTTTAAATTTACTAAAACAATTATTTTTCGTATGACAAATTATTATTTAATGTAAAGAGAATAGATGAAAGTATGGATAGGACAAATTCGCGCACAGAAGTTTAAGAAATAATTAATTAAAGAACATTTTTTGACGTGATGAACCAAATAACTTAGGAAAAAGATTGTTTTATAGTAAATTTTTACTACTTTTTTGCCACACATTGCTAAAGTATGTATAAAGATGAAGATTAATATGTTTTTTATGTAAAGAATGAAATACACAACCTCTATAGATACTGCCATTAATACATTTATACAGGAAAAAAGAATCAATTCTTTTTCATTAGAAATTTTTGTATTTTAAAAAATGTCGAAAAAGGATGTCTTTTTTAAGGGAAATGAGATCAATTTTTGTACTATTAATGGGCTAAAGACCGACCTTAGATGTTTAATTGAATATTTTTCATTTCTGTACTATTTATATACACACAGATATGTTAATACTGAATGAATGTATGTTAAAACTTTCCTCAAACATTTACTAAAGCAGTAATTGAAACATTTTTATATAGTCTTGACAATTTTTTACTACAGAAACCGAAAAGCAACATAGAATTTTTTTAAATCAACAGACAGCAAACAAAAAAGTTAAAGAAAATAGTTAAAAAAATTTTATATCTCAAAGTGAAAGTGAAATTGTGTGTCTAATAGAAATTTTGAAGTTGTCTAACATTTCTCATTATAATGTTTATTGGCTTGTAAACTAGACTAGATGTTACATGCTAAATGAATTCTATACTGACAGATGTTGAGCTTATTTGAATTATATCATCGAAATTTAACATAACAGGTTGAGATTATGGATATTTGTTGTTAGCACGTCTGCATTTCTTGTGTTATCTATCTCATGATCATGCTGTTAAAGGTGCTCGCGATGAGTCTAAAACATCTGGAACTCAACTGAAAAGTTGATGAACCTACAAGTAGCATAATCCGTTCCTGTTGTGAGTAAATATTTCAATTAAGGAGTTCTTTCTCATTCAGAATGATTGTCCTTTTACCCCGTTATTCACATAAACTCATTTTCTACCGTCCTACAATAAAATTGGCACTACAACAAAAGGCCTTAATTTTCATACTTTAATCATTTCATCCTCGTAGAGTTCAACTTCAATGGCTGGAAAGTTGAAAAAGTTTCTAGTCTGAATCAAGACAATCGCTCTAAATGAGAATCAATTGCTCCGTTGGAATTAGCAAAAATAAAAGAGAAATGAACTTAATAAACATAAATTATTTATAAAATATGAAAGCATTTTATACAAATTAAAGTAAAAAACAAACAATACATTACATACTTTATTTATTAAGGCAATCATCCAACAAACTCTTCAATCATCTCAAATACATAAAACTTTTATACTACTATTTAAGCATCATGAGATGACTAAAATAAATCCCATTTTCTTTTCTTTAAAAGAGGAAAGAAACTAACCATTAGTAGAATAAGAATTAAAATTAATTAAATTTATGATGGAAAACATTGAGCTGTTTTTTGATAGAAAAAAAGAAAAATTAAACTAATCAGTATTTTGTAATCCTAATTTATAATTTATTAGTTGATTAAGATGAATCTCATTTGAGGACACAAGAGAATTAATTCAAATTTGACTTTCAATTTTTCATCATGACTTTATTCTTACGATTAACGGTTTGAGGCTTCGTTATAAAATAACGACATTTTCGAGTTTAAATTACTGCATCACTTGTGGAGAATAAAAAAAGCCGTTTCAAAAATAGTTTTTAACGACTTTTTGAAATTTAAATTTTTCTGCGTCTTTAAAGTTCAATTTTTGAACTGATGCAAAAATTTGAATTGCAAATTACCGTTAAAAATTTCATTTTGGAAAGTTGAGAATTTTTGAATTAGTTTCTCTTTTCCTCCCATTATTTTTCCAAATTTAAATTAGATTGAATAAGTAAAAGTAAACGAAGCTGGAAACTGAAAAGTAGTCGATCGATGGAACAATTATAAAGTGACAAAATGGTCTGATGAAAATGAAATTTTTATAATTCTATTTTTAAAGAAAAAACGATTGACTTAGGCATAAAGAATGAAGTACTGTTTATTAAAAATATAACGATGGAAATGAATTTGAAGTGTAGTGTGACAGTTTTTCAATTATTTTTCTAATTAATCGCTATTTTATAAAAAGAAAAATATTTATTTTTGAAGAAAAAGAAATCAGAACTTATCATAGCTGCATTTTTAAAAATAATTTTATCATCTCAAGAATTATAATTTTAACTTTTAAGTGATCTTAATGAATAATTTAAAGGAATATTAGTAAATTAAAATAGTAAAATAAAATTTTAGGAATGGATGTTGTCTTGAGGATTGAAACTAGAATTTCTATGAAATTGATAAATTTGCTTGACTGAATTGAGGATTAATACATATTTTGGCATTAAGACAACTGTCCATTCCTAGCATTGATATACATTTAGTTTAATTATAACTTTAGTTTTAAAAAAAAACACAAAATCAAAGGAGCGACAACAAAAAAGGGAATTTTGCAATCATAAAATTTTCAAATCGTTGTGAAAAAACATTTTTTTATGATAATTAATTATGTGAAAATTTTGTGCAAGGAATTCATGTACAACAATGTAGTAAAATGTAATAATATGCAATCTATTTAACTTCCAAATATCTGTGAGTTGTACACAGTCTCTTGTGAAGATTTATTAAGTACATAAACTAATCATTCCAAATAATGCATTGTAAATTTTTCGTTTTTGTCCTTCTGATGATGATGATAAAAATACAAAAGTACACTTCCTGGTGATTTTTGCCAGGAATCTTGAGTTTGTGGGATGAGAATGAAGCTTTTGTCTGATGTTAATCACAAAATCTTCATCATCATGCCTCAACTAAAGATGCAAATATTATGAAAATAAGGTCGAAGATATTTTTCAGTAGAATACAGAAGGAAATAAATTATTTTTCATGTTTGTGATCCTATTTTAATTTCTTAATTTAAGATACAATTGATTACTATAAGAAATCATTAACTGAAAGTTTTAAATTTCTTTGTGCATTTCTTTGCAAGATATATCTTAATTAACTAATTTAAGTGATGTATTTGAAAAAAAAACAAAAAAATAAAAAAAATCATAATCAAGTTTTTTAAAAAAAAAATTGAAAAAATCATGACAAAAAAGGATTCTTTTTATACATATTGTAAGAATGAATGGACCCAAGTACCACAAAATCAACTGTTATTTCACACACATATACACATGCATTAAATTATCTATAGACATTAAAAAGGAACTCATAATAGGCGAATATCATCAAATATTATTATTATTATTACTTTTCTAATTATTAATCTTAGGTAATTTTTCGTGCATTTCTTTATGGATATTGAAATAACATCCATTTCATTCAGTTTGAAATAATTTTAAAGTAAATATTTGTATCAAAATTATGTCAAGAATCCCCGCCCAACACAAAAAACCCCCAAAAAATAATAAAATAAAAAAAAACATTTGTAATGAAAGAACGAAATGAAGGAAGTCCTTCAAAATTGATTTAAAAATAGAAAAAAAGATGAAAAAAAATTTGAAAAATAAAGATAAAATAATGTAACTTATGTACTGTGTTTTATTTGGTAGATGATGAAAATAACTTTTATATCATTTTAGGATCTTAGATGTTTACGCTGGAGAAGTTATGGAACTCGAAGTTATTAACTGAACGCTGAAAATGATTGCAATTCAATTATTATGAAAGTCAGTAGATTTTACAACACTTGGCAACCGAGCTGAAACTAAGATAATTGTAGATCTGTGGTACAAGCTCGAAAATTGTATTAGATTCTGCTTCAAAACAGCTTTGTATTGAAGCAGAATCAAAAACAACGTTCTTTAGATTGATCTCAACTTTGTTTTGAAACATTGGAACTGATCGACTGAATATCAAGTTTGGATGTAGAACACAAAAATATAATTTGTTGCTTACGGTAGCTCCAGATCGATAATATGATGCCATGATAGCAATTTTTTATCCTTGGTAAGTTTTATCAGAGATCGAAGCCACTTAGCTCGGCTTAATTAAGCCTTTAAATTGCATTTTAAAACATATCTAGGTATTATAAATGATAAGAAATGCTAATATCGACATAAAATCGATATTTTTTTGAAAATAGCCTGCTATGATCAAAACCAAAAATGCTTTAAATTGCATTTTAAAACATATCTAGGTATTATAAATGATAAGAAATGCTAATATCGACATAAAATCGACATTTTTTTGAAAATAGCCTACTATGATCAAAACCAAAAATGCTTTAAATTGCAGTTTAAAACAAATATAGGTATTATAAATGATAAGAAATGCTAATATCGACATAAAATCGATATTTTTTTTGAAAATAGCCTGCTATGATCAAAATCAAAAATGCTTTAAATTGCATTTTAAAACATATCTAAGTATTATAAATGATAAGAAATGCTAATATCGACATAAAATCGACATTTTTTTGAAAATAGCCTACTATGATCAAAACCAAAAATGCTTTAAATTGCAGTTTAAAACAAATATAGGTATTATAAATGATAAGAAATGCTAATATCGACATAAAATCGATATTTTTTTTGAAAATAGCCTGCTATGATCAAAACCAAAAATGCTTTAAATTGCATTTTAAAACATATCTAATTATTATAAATGATAAGAAATGCTAATATCGACATAAAATCGATATTTTTTTGAAAATAGCTCGCTATGATCAAAATCAAAAATGCTTTAAATTGCATTTTAAAACATATCTAGGTATTATAAATGATAAGAAATGCTAATATCGACATAAAATCGATATTTTTTTGAAAATAGCCTGCTATGATCAAAATCAAAAATGCTTTAAATTGCAGTTTAAAACAAATATAGGTATTATAAATGATAAGAAAAGCTAATATCGACATAAAATCGATATTTTTTTTGAAAATAGCCTGCTATGATCAAAACCAAAAATGCTTTAAATTGCATTTTAAAACATATCTAGGTATTATAAATGATAAGAAATGCTAATATCGACATAAAATCGATATTTTTTTGAAAATAGCCTGCTATGATCAAAATCAAAAATGCTTTAAATTGCATTTTAAAACATATCTAATTATTATAAATGATAAGAAATGCTAATATCGACATAAAATCGATATTTTTTTGAAAATAGCTCGCTATGATCAAAATCAAAAATGCTTTAAATTGCATTTTAAAACATATCTAGGTATTATAAATGATAAGAAAGCGCGAAGTAAACAAATAAATTT